TTAGGCAAGACACTTCACCCACATTGCCTAGTATGAAAGTGGTGTCTGCCTGAGTGATGGTGGTGGTCGGAGGACCAATGGAGACGATTGGCATGGCAGCCGCGCTTCTGTCAGTCTGCCCCAAGGGCAGCTGTGGCTACAATAGTAGCTTACCATCCCCAGGTATAGAGTGAATGAATAATGCTGAATAATGCTCTGACAAAAATGTCTGTGAAAAGCGCTATATAAATAAAGACTTACGTTCAAAAACAATTAACTTCACCTTTCCAGCAGCACAGTATCTGCACCCTCATCTATACAATCTGAAATACATCTCTACCAGGCTAAAGAGTTCACTGGTCCTCTCCATGTCCAGAAGTAAAGTTGCATCAGACCAGAAAAATGTCTAGCTCAGCGACCATAGAGCTGTAATTACACAGAAGCACTGCTGAGCTCCGCAGGACTAACGTCAAGACCAGGGTTATTCTGCAAGAAAACTGAAGGGCAATGTATGATTTACGGACTATTTTGCTCACCTGGATGGAACAATCACGAATAGCAGATTAATTAGTTGATAGGTTTGGTAGTGAAGTCATATTTTCAAATGAGCAGTTTCAGGGAGGAGCCAGGAATTAGATATAGAATTTTATAAAATGCCATATTACAGATTTTATTTATTCATCCACTTATTTGTCCTCACTTGAACAAAAATTGACAAAGTTTAATATGTTCTCTGTAAGCACAAATTGTCATATTAAACTATGAATCTTCTGTTGAGAAATAAAGGCTCTCCACTGCTCTCTATCTGACAAATCCCCAATTTGAACATAACCTATGCATAATCTCCATTAATCTATTGACATGGTTAACTAGAAGCAAAACTATTTAGCATGTCTGCCACCTTGTGGACAGTGTATGCACTGAAATTAAAAACCTCAGACACAATATTTCATCATTTATAATTGAAGAGAAAAAAATACTACTTGCAATGCAGACTAATTACAGCTTTAGATCAAGTGAAAAGTCAACTAAAAAATAATGAAAGGATTTTAAGTCTCAATTTTTATTATTTGTACATTCACCAATAGGCGTACTTAAAGAAAATTAAAAAAAAACAAAAAAAAAACAAAAAACCCTTTGTACTAAAATGATAAAATAGCAATTAAAAACAATATTAAAACCATCAGTGAGCGTACTCCCTCTGAAACCTGCATGAATACTACAGGAGGGGATGAGGGAAAAATAGAACAGATTAAATGTTGAGGACATAATCATAAACAGATCAGGCCTGTGAAGATTTGGCTCAAGGTGAGAAGAACACTACAATACCTTGGTTTGTTATTATACACCTGTCCAAAAATATCCCAAAGCTGCCTCATTTACAGACTTGGCTTTTGATTATTTTGTCTGTACAAAATGTTAAACTTCGTATCTCCAAATATTTCTTATGTTATTTGCCGCTGAAAAGAGACAGATATGTTCGTTTATCCCAATGCTGCAGGACATCCTCTGACAACAGCAACCGAAGGACTGAACCTTAGAGCTGAGCTGCTAACACTTGAGGCAACTGATTGCAAGTTAGTCAACACCTACATTTAAGCAGCAACAGGGAACATCAGAGGATACTTATAATTATCCAGTGCTATAACGCAATGCTGTCAAGACAAAATAAGGCAAACATACAAAGAGAACTTGACTCTTGACACTGGCAAGACGTACAGCATTCTGGAAAACACTGCAAAAGAATAATGGTCCCCTCTCAGCATGATCAGATGTTGGTGCAGATGTGATTTAAAAACAAGTAATTTTAGAGATGCTGTGACATCAGTTGGTCCTCCATTAGGGTCTGTCATATTAAAGTACATATAGTGAAAGGCAAATGGAAGTATGGTCTCTTGAATTCCATTAAGCATTTTTCAACTAGCGCCTACGTTCTCGGGGGTCACTTCGACTGCGTGAACGGCGTCCACTAGGGGGGGCGTAGCCACCAGGCCTACGATAACCCTCCCTTCGTTTGTCAGCCTCCCTGTCCCTTTCCCTGTCCCTACCTCGGTCTCTGGCTCGGTCCCTGTCTCTGATCTTGTCCTTCTCGCTCTCACTGCGGTCGACTGTAATGCCACCTCCAGTTCGCATTCTCTCCTTGTTTTCTTCCTCTTTTTTCTTCAGCTCTGCTTCCTCCTCTTCTTTTTTGCGTTGCTTCTCTCGTTCTTTCCTCCTTTCAACTCTAGCCTTTTCACGCTGAAGATACTACAGGAGAAAAAAAATCCAACAAATTAGGTGCGTGATAATTTGTTAAAATCAATCAATTCAAAAGATATATCGCTTGCCTGTTCCTCTGTCAGGGGAAGCCAGTATATGCAAGGAACTGCTTTTGTTTTTCTGAACAGGTCATCAAGCAATTTTGCCGGAGGATCTTCTGTTTTCTCTGTCAAAATCCCAAAACAGTGAAATAATAAGCCCCATTTTCACTGTCATGTTTTGTAAAGATCAGACTTACCTTTCTTCTCAGTTTTCTTCTCCTTGCTCTTTTCCCTCTCCTTGCGACGTCTCTCTCTGGACCGAGATCTCCGTGCACCTGCTTCCCTTTCCTCTGGAGTCTTCCCAAACTCTCTGACCTTATCCCTGTCCCATTCCCGCTCTGCCCGTGCCCGTTCCCGGCGCCCCATTTCACGCTCGCGTTCAGCCCACTGGTCTCTCTCTGGGAGGAGTGAAGGAAGACCCTGACTATGACTTTGTATTCCACTTCCCGGTCTTTCACTGGAGCCTAAACCTTTGTGGAAGTCCAGCTACACATAAAAAAACATCAACAAATGTTATAAGGCAACTCTAACACCATAAAACAGCATGAAATAAAGTGTTACCTCATCCTGTTGGCAGAAATCGACTCTAAGAACTTTTGGATTGCTTTGAGGCCACTTAACGCCATGAAGTGCTGCCCGTGTGGCAACTGCTTCTTCGGAGCTAGAATACTAAACAGCAACACAAAATAGCAGTTAGTGCAAATGTTCTTTGTGCATTTTGGAAATAAATGTATAAACTCACAGTGACATAACAATGAGACTTGATTTTATCAATCCAGAAGCCATCTTCCACAAGAGTGCCTGTTCTGCTGAGCAGTTCTTTGAGTTGTCCCAGTGTAAACGGTCTCACCTAAAACATGAAGATCTTTTGTCAGGGCTTCAAGCTCTACAAAGTGCAAGATCTATGAAGATACAGCTCATTTACCAAGTTGCAGACATGAACAATGTTAGAAACATCTCCCCGGGGAGGAGAGGGGTGCCTGGCTGTGCGCACAGGATCATCAATAGTGATAGAGACACCAATCTTCTGCTGGTTAATCGAACGACGAATGAGGATATCATTAGGAGTCACTGCAAAGAGAAAACGTTTTACTGATGGCTTCAGTATAGGATTAAGCTCAAATAAAGCAGAAAAATACAAAAATATATAAAAAAAAAATATGAATGCTTTAATGTCTTGATTTAACTGAATACCAGTGTTAATTTCTGCTTCATGACGCGTGTGCAATGGTGAGGGTGCTTCTATGGCTTCATCATAAGTTTTTGTCTCTTTTTCATCTTGCATATCCTCTTCTTCTGATTCTTCTCGTCTTCTTTTTGCTTCTTTTTGACCATTCTCCTGGTTCTCCACATTGACAACCTTAACACAACCAGAAAATAAAATCAGATTTTAAGAGGAAATCACACACATCACATCAGTAAACCATAGGTACTGCTGTAGAAACCATGTACTAACTTGTGTTACAGTTCGGCAAATCTGAAGTTCTTGATCAGTATGGTCCTTGTCTTCATCCTCAGTTTCAGACAGGACAGGATCCTCAGGATGAAGGTCCATCACTGCTTCCTGGTTTAAGGCAGGTTTGATATCTGGAATCAAAGACTGAGAAACAAAACTAGTGTGAAATTTGAATGTGTACATCTCCAATCTAGTAGTATGAATAAAGCATGAACTCAGATTGAACCACCCCAAAGAATTGACTGCATAATGCAGTTTACCTTAAGAGAATCTGTGGTGATGCTGATCGTAGGTTTTTTGGCAGTGACAGCTGTACTAGAGCCCCACCTCCTCTTACGACCACCTGCAGACCCCAACTCAAGATCATTCTCTGTGCTGCCAGGAGATGATTTGCTGCCTGGTATACACAAAAGAATCATCGGTTAACAAATTCTACTTTATAAACCATAATTTACGTGGAAATGCATAGTTTACAATAAAAAATGTAATGTTCACACAGATATGAATGATTTTGACAGGGAAGGAAGGGTTACTCACTGCTAAGAGAGATCTTACGAGTTGAGAAGGCTTTAGGTGTCTGTAACAAAGGAGATAGAACAAGACCAAGAACACAAGGGAAATGATCAGTTGGGAATTATGGGAAAAGAACAAAAGGACACCAGGTTGGACTAAAAACTAAATTATAAACACAAACACAAGTGGAAAACTACTGGTGTAAAAAAAACCAAACATCTCTCCCTCTCTCTCTCTCTCTATATATATATATATATATATGTATATATTCATATGAAATTATAAAAGCTGCTTTAAAAATAAATGTGAAAATGTAAAATGTGATGATTAAATAAGTTAAGAACTGATTTTAGTGCGCACTGTAACCACTGAAAGTAGCTGAGACTAAAGTGTATCAAGAGTAATGAGTGTTGTGATTTGTCAACTTATTCCCTGGTATTAGACACCTGATCCTTACTGGATTGGATATGGCCGAATCTTGGCTGCAAGTACTGATCTAGGCAACAAAAGTCCAATCAACGTGGCTGAGAAATCTTTAAGTTGCATGGCAATAGTTCATTGAGGGAGCGCCAGAAAATGCTTCAGTTTTAAACAGTCCAAAATCAGGTTTCCAGATGAAGCTGAGAAGAAATGGATGAGCTCCGATAAGTACATTCACTATCTAGGTATAGGCTGCCATTGTGAATGTTCACTTAAATCAAATATTAGTGGGGGCTTATGGAAGTCCACAATTACTCCTCAATGTTGTCTTCTGTGGTAGACAAAATGTCAAAATGTCCAATGCTGAACAAAACAATCCAAGGGTGAAAAACAAAGCCAACTGTCTTTATACATAATCAGTGGTCCAATGGCTGGAGGGGAAAGCTGGTTTAATGTTCATGGGTTGAAGAAGTACAGATTTATTTACTGCCATGGGGCTTCACTGCCACAATTCTCAGCAACTGGTAAATTTGCCTTTTTGGGGGAACAGTTTTTACTATCCATGTTTAATAAGGTGAGCCACTGGTGTTAATGAAGTCCTTTTCCAGAGTCTGCAGAGCAGGCTAGGGGGTAGGCTTGATGTCAACTCTGCATTCTTGGGGACAGTGGACAGGTGTGGAAGTGACAGCAGGAGAAGTGGTAGTAGTATGCAGGTACCAATATGGGCAATGGAAGAGGCATGACCACCTTTTAACAAAGCAATCATTTGGGGTTTAAAAATCGACCACATTGAGACAACCCTTGACGTGAACGCCCATGTCAGGCTTTATAAACAGTAACAAATATAAACTAATCATAGGCTAATGCAAGTTAATAAATGGTAGATCTTTATCAGCTTCAAGTGCCTTACCTCGTTGTTGCCCTCAGTACCCTTTTCTGGTTCTGACACAGCAGACTCTCCTTGGCTGTAAAAGTATGGAAATGTGATTTAAGATTTTGACATGAAACACTAATAATTACATTACAAATAATCTCAAATATAAACATTTAATGTAAATTAATGATATACAGCAATGTTATAATTGATATAAATATGTAAAAAGGGTCTGCATTTTCACTCACAATAATCTTGACTGAACTTCACAATATGTGTTATGTGTACTGGAACAGACCTATTTTGAGGCTTTTCATTTTCATCATCGCTGCCTTTTCTTCTTTGGGCGTCATCTTGGACAGGTGCTTCATTTTGCTGTGTTTAGAAAAAAACAAACAAACATAGGTTTATTTATTTAACACTGAAGATGCCATTTTACTTCTACAAATATTTCAACTGACCTTGGTTAAAATATCTTTACTAAATTGTACATTCTCTGAGGAAATCTCCATTTGGTTTGGAGATGTCTTCTCTTGCTCTTTTGATACCTCAATAGCTTGAAGCGATGATGAATTCTACAACAAAGAGAAACTATATCAATGTATGCATATAAAAATTTTAACTAGTCTTAACAAAAAATACATTCTTTATAACAGGGTTAATGTTTACACCACTTACTCTGCTCGGCTGTGAGAGGAAAGTCTTGTCTACAGATGAGGAGGATGAACCAGTAGAGTGAGTTGAAGAGGAATCGGATTCGGAGGAAGACGAATCATTTGATGATGACCTTCTTGTGTCTTTTTTCTCTGTCTTCTTTACATCTCTTCCTCTTCCAAAAGGACCCAAAGGGCTTGAAGGACAGATTTTACTGTCTACAGCCATCTTAACAGATCCCTTCACTGCATCCTCAGTTGTATCATGATCTTCTTTATCCTCCGACATGAGGTTTGAATCACCTCGTTTTTGGGCACTTTCCACAGCTTCAACCTGTTTTACCTCTGATATCACCGTCCCAGTAACATCCAGATTTGCAGATTGTTCTTTGTGCAATTGACTTTCAGCATTACTATCCACAATAGGGCCAGAATGCTGTGGTGTATCAGAAAAAGTACGGGGCCTCTTGATAATTCGTGAGGCTGCATGTGGTTGCAATGGGGTGTTTCTTGAGAATCGAAACTTTTTCAACAAGGACGGTGGTGACTTATTTGACTCCTCTGCTTGGCCTTCACAGGTAACCGGACCACGGACTTCACATTCCTGCTTGTCTGCTTCTGTTGATACATTTGTTGATGTTCCTGTGGAGAGGGGGGTAGGAGTGGGCAGGGGGACAAAACCAATCTCACGAGTAGGAGGAAAATGCTCCTCACTCCCCACTTTAATCATCCTAGATTCCTCGGCCACAGCCTTGGCTTTTCTCTCTTCTTCTAATGCTTGTCCCTCCTGTTCCAGCCCTTTCTCCTGCTCCAGTCTCTCCTGTTCAGCCTTTTCCAGTCGTTCCCTTTCCAAACTTGCCTCTCTTTCAACCTTTTCTTGCTCTATCCTTTCTTTCTGCAAAGCGTTTTCTCGTTCAATTCTCTCCTGTTCTAGAACCCTTTCTTGCTCCATCCTCTCCTGTTCTAAAGCTCTTTCTCGTTCCATCCTCTCCTGTTCTAAAACCCTTTCTCGCTCCTTCCTCTCCTGTTCTAAAGCCATTTCTCTCTCCATTCTCTCCTGTTCTAGAGCCTTTTCACGTTCTATTCTCTCCTGTTCTAAAGCCCTTTCTCGTTCCATTCTCTCCTGTTCTAAAGCCCTTTCTCGCTCAATTCTTTCTCGTTCTATTCTCTCCAGCGCTAAAGCCTTTTCCCGTGCAATTCTTTCTCGCTCTACTCTTTCCTGTTCTAAAGCCTTTTCTTGTGCAATTCTTTCTTGTTCTATTCTCTCCTGTTCTAGAGCCTTTTCTCGTGCAGTTCTTTCTCGTTCTATTCTCTCTTGCTCTAAAGCCTTTTCTTGTGCAATTCTTTCTTGTTCTATTCTCTCCTGTTCTAAAGCCTTTTCTCGTGCAATTCTTTCTCGTTCTATTCTCTCTTGTTCTAAAGCCTTTTCTCGCTCTATTCTCTCTTGTTCTAAAGCCTTTTCTCGCTCTATTCTCTCTTTTTCTAGAGCTTTTTCTCGCTCTATTCTCTCTTGTTCTAGAGCCTTTTCTTGTGCAATTCTTTCTCGCTCAAGTTCTTGAGCCTTTTCTTGCGCAATTCTCTCCTGTTCTAAAGCAGCTTCTCGTGCTTGCCTTTCTTGCTCAATTCTTTCCTGTTCAATCCTTTCCTGTTCTAAAGCTTGTTCTCTCTCCTTTCTCAACCTCTCACGCTCCAAAGCCGCCTCTCTCTCCAGCCTTTCTTGTTTCAGTCTTTCTTGCTCCAAAACCTTCTCTCTCTCTATCCGCTCTCTTTCTAATCTTTCTTGCTCCAGAACTCTCTCTCTCTCCAAAGCCTGAGCCCTTTCTTGTTCTTCCCTCTGGCGCTGTTCACGTTCCTCTTGTTCTTGCTGCAAAGCCAGTTGTCTCTCTAGAGCCCTTTTTCGTTCAAGCTCCAATGCCCGTTCCTTCTCTTCTCTCTCTTTAGCCAACGCTATCTCCCTTTCCTGTTTTTCTCTTTCTAAAGCAAGTTCCCTCTTCATTTGCAGAGCTTTTTCTCTTTCTAACGCTTCCCGTTCCAACTGTTCTTTCTCGAAAGCCTTCTGTTGTTCAGCTCTTACCCGTTCCTCCTCCATAGCCCGTTCTTGCTCAAGTTTTCTTTGTTGTTCTTTCCTTCGCAGCTCGAGAGCCTTTTCTCTTTCTAATTCAGCCTCTCTCTCTGCAGTTGCCTTCAATACACTTACAGGGGCTTGGACATTGCTTTTGTTTGAGCCTAGATTAATTGGTGCATGGCTTGAAGTTGGCATATGAAGGACAGAGGACACCAAACCCTCTGGGCAGACTTGATTGGGAAACAAAATTGAAGAAGAGCAGTTGTCTTGCCTGTTTACATCACGGCTATGCCACTCGGCTCCAGAGAAAGCACCTTCTGACTCCATTTTTCTTGCTAGAAGCGTCAAGGGGCCAGGCTTGCGCTCAGAAAGTCCACCATGAGGTTCAGGGCTGCTGCTACGACTGCCACTGCTTGATGAACCTGAGCTGGAGGAAGAGGGAGAACGTCCTGGAGCTTCATCAGGACTAGGGGGACTCTGCTTAGGGGTGTCAGGTAAAGGAAAAGATAACTCTGGTGGTGGAGACGGTGGAGGTGTTGGCTGGCGCAATTGAGGAGACAAAAGTGAAGGAATATGTTGCTGTTGAGGTTGGCAAGATGCTGCAGATCTCTCCCTGACCATGGGTGCTCTCACTGGCTGTCTGGGGAGTCTTCCCTGAACTTTACTGTCCCAGTCATCATCATCATCACCATCATCCTCTCCATCCTCACTATCATCTTCATCACTGTCAGCTGCTGTGTCACTTCGGTCTTGAGTCACAGAGCCAGAGGCAGGTGGACGTGACATGGCAGCCTCCTGATGTCTGTGAGTCAATCCCTCTGGCATTGCATGACCACTAGAGGGGCCTGGTGGTTTGAAATGGTCAGTCACAGCAGGTGAAGCATCCTGAAAAAAGAAAGTTATTTATAAAACACTAACTCACTTAGAATATGTTTAATGTCAGTGCGGTAGATGACAACTTTAACCAAACAAAAACAAAAAAAAGGCATCTCACCTGGACTTGTGGAGTACAGGTGCTGTTATTAACATCATTGTGATCCTCTTGATCTATTTTTAAAATGTTTAATATAATCATTAAGATAATAAATTAAAGGCAACACTGATAATAAAAAAAATTATAATCAAAAGAGTCTACAGTCTGCTAAAACTCAGGAATATTAGTAACTGACCATTTGTTTCATAAGCTTCACGGGCTTCTCTCTCCAATCGCTGCCTCAAGAGTTCCTGTTGTTTAGCCAGATACTGCTTAATGAAGCTATTCTGGCTCATTTCTTCACCAATCTGTAATGATAGAATTTTCTCAAGTATTGCTTATATTATAATTTATCTTAATAATATATAAGTAAATTGGACATACCTGAGAATTGGGCTGGAGTCCAACATGGGCTGTGGAGGTTCGTTGCAAATTTTCCAGCATGAGGGCCTTTAACAACAAATTATGAAAAATATTATAAAGTACATCATCACTACCACATTACATAAAAACGTCATTCCTCCCCTTTAAATAATTTGATAATATAATTATGGCACATAGAATAAACAGTTTACAATCTCAGACAAAAGAACAAAAAACTAAAAACAGTAGCACTAAACTGTGTGATGCACTCTGTAAACAAACAGTGAACCAGCGCGAGTGGATAAACAATTTTGTCGCACACATAAAATACTAAAATCCACACTAAATCATTGCACATCATGCTGACTAGTATGTGGGGGTTTCTTTAAAGCCAAAAAAACAAATGCACAATTTGTGCACAACGTGTACTCATGTATGGTTAGAGAAATGCAAACAGCGGGTAGGCGCTAAGGCCAGCGTTCATCTCCCAGTTAAGCATTAGGCTAGCTGCAAGAGCTAACATGATCATGACAACACTGCCTGATCACATTAGCAACACAGTTATAGAACATAAGACATTTAAACAATTTACATGGTTCTGCTTATCAAAATGCGCGGTGTTGATTAAATATTTTCCATCTACAATTATAACTTGTAAAGATCCTTTCTGTTGGCCCTCGGCAAAGCATCAGCCTGTCTCTGCATTAGCCACTGGTAGCAACAACTGTAACTGTTTATTTTGGAATAAACTCACCCCCTTGAGTCTTTTGATGAGAGCATTTTTCTGTCCACTTTTGGAAAGTCCCCTTTCTTCAAGGGCAGCTTTCAAATCAGCAACTCGAAGGGACTGGAGCGGTCTCCCGTCCAGAGTTACGTCCTCGAGATCCGCCATTTTCCGTTCCTCTCGGTAAATCCAGAGACGAGCGACGCCTCCCTGTCTGTGACGTCAGACTCCGTGACTCGCGTCCGAGCACTTATGAATCACTTATGAATATAAGAAACTCATTTTTGAGAAGATTTTGAAAAGGTCTTGAACTACTTACACCGGACACAGCAAAGCGGCAAGCTGTAAATTTATTTCCTGAGTGCTTTAATTTGTTTAACATGATATACATCGTCCACGCTCCAATCCAGTAGGTGGCGACAACATCAATTAATTACATTTTGCAGTGGGTCAAGGAAGTTATCGTCAAGCGTTATGTTTGAGGTTAGTGAGCCTTTTAATGTTGCTTTAACCCAATTGTGAGACAGATTTGCCTGGCTTCCTGATCACTTGGGAAATCGACAGGAAGACAAAAAGTAGCACATATATTTCCGTGTCATGGCGTGGTTTCATAGTGCAATTCAAAGCTCGAACGAGCACATTGATTCTGCAGATTGTTCAAGTCGCTTTTGCACTACCTACAGCCAACTTCCAGGATTAACAGAAGTAACTGTACCCACGATCACCCCACATGAATGGTCCGGTTGTGCCTCATCCATCTCCACAGACTTTCCATCTCCCCCCCTCCACACACCAGGACCCCCTAGCCTGGAGAACTTGTCGTGCAGTTCTTCTACTGGACCTCAGGGTAAAGAACCACTGCCCATTTCCTACGTGACCCTCCAGGAGCAGCGTTGTGTTCTAAGCTGGTTTCAGGGTTGGGATGCTACTCAAAGGGAGCGTTTCATGCAGGACCTACTGGGAAAGGCTGTACCTGGGAAGGTGTGCACCTTATTAGACTCACTGAGTACTCTTCAGGTACGTTGTATCTCTCTTGAAAATACAAGTTACGAATCACATTTCTAACCGTATACTCTTTACATTGACAAGGTGAAGGACAAACTACCGAACATCTTTGAATGCCAGCTAAGACTTTGGAGCCAGTGGTTTGAGTCTTGGGAAGAAGAAGAGAGGAATCATTTTCTACATATTTTAGAAGAAAAGGACCCAGTTTTTGTAGCACACTTTCACAAATGTGTTGCAGGAACAGCTGGAAAAGACTAATTTCATTTTTTATTGGGAGACTTTTGTACCTATCACTTTTGTGCAGCAGAACACAAAATATACTTTGCAATCATGTAACTGTTTATTTTGCACTACAGATGTAATATAACCTGGGCTAGTATTTGGCTAAGGTGTCATATGGGTTATTCTGTGATAGTTTAAGTTTACATTTCAACTTAATAAATCAAAAGATTAAAAAAAAAGATAAATTGTCATATTTTTACAGTTTTCAACAGCTCATGAAACTTTCCATCAAAGGGAGGCTCTTGCTCTGACACACCAAAGTACACAGATAAGACAATCTTTTATGGTCTCCCTTGGGAGAAATTTATCTTGGGACAGGGGTCACATGCTTCAACACAGAAAAGACATCACAGCCACATAAATAATCCAGGGCACATCCAGATTCTGGAGCCAGGTAAGTGTCCTTTCATTTCAGTATGTGCTGGTGGAATGAGGGATAGAATCAACCAGTGATGAAATATTTGCTCATGCTTGCTGATATAAACAAAGTCATCTTATGGTTTGCACTTACACAACGTAATTTGTGAAAAAAAAAAAAAAAAAAAAAATCTCGCCTTTTTTTGCAAGGGCATAATGGAATGGTTTTTTACCAAATCATTGTTTATATTTATGACCGACTGTCTCACCGCTTGACGGAAGTCAACTTTGGCAACAATAGTGTTATTGTAACAGAGAAATTTACGGGTAGGTCTGTTCCCTTCCCTTATACCTTATTGACCAATTAAATTATTTGAACAAATTTTGTATTGGCGTATCTGTAAAGAAACAATTTTTATAAGATTAGGCTATAGCCTACATTCTGACCGAATATTTATTGTATTTAACGTTGTTCTTGCTGTGTACATAGAGTGTATTTATTTATTTATTTATTTATTTTTTTACATAGACTGTATAAAGTAGTGGATAAGCGAGCGTGGCGTCACCTAAAGCCTTCAGCACCACTAAAAAGAAGCTCGCGATGTTGGTGGTTACAGGAGTGAATTTGGAGCATATTTAGAGTCAGGCTCTATATTATGAATATGGTGTTTTTAACGGACAAAATAGCGGAATTAAAAAAAGATCATGTTAATCCGAACACTTTAAGACCAAAATGAAGAGGCTCACAGCAGCCGTTACAGAGTGAGTCGCGACAATATTCCAATGAATGGCAATGGGAGACAGGGTCAGTAGTAGCCGGAAGTGCCCACTTGCGAACTTCCCGTTTGGAAGGCGGCGGCTAACGCGTTTGCTACGTCCATTTATATATACAGTCTATGGTTGTGTAACACTTATCACCCTGCATCTCTAATGTGACCATTGTCTTTTTCTTTTATGAGACTTCGAAATGTCACTATCCGGATGGGTGTGTGTGGTGACGGGTGCTTCCAGAGGCATTGGCAAAGGTATTGCCTTGCAGCTATCTGAAGCTGGAGCCACTGTCTACATTACCGGGCGCTGCGAGAAGACACTGAATGAGTGCGCTGCTGAGGTAAAAGTCTCCCTGCTTGCACAATTAGATCAGATAAAAGGAGACGTATTGGGCCTCGCAACAGTTGGTCCAGTGTTGGGAACTGGCTTGCATTCTAAAGTTGCTTAGTTCATTATTTAGAAGCATTGTTTTTATAATAATTTTCTACTTCTTAAGGCAGTTTTATGTTATGTTAAAATATTGTTACACTTTAATTAGGTGTGCGTGTAATATCCATTGACTATATAGACTACCAAAGTATATACGGAATTTACAGGAAAGATCAGTAAACATTCTGCTATCTGTTTGCAGTTTACCCGTTTATTTTTTAGGTTGATTGACAATATTCTCCTAACCTATTGTATATGTTTATATTATAAAGGTTATAGAAAGAGGCGGCAATTGTGTGCCAGTTAAATGTGACTCTACAAAAGACCAAGACATTGAAGAACTCTTCGAACAAATTAAACGTGAACAACATGGCAGACTGGACATTCTGGTCAATAATGCCTACGCAGGAGTGCAGGTAGACAAATAATATGTATATATTACATAACTTAAAAAATTCAGAGGGTCCATGGTCATCAACCATAATGTGAACACTGAATGTTTTTCTAGACTATTTTTGATAATATGGGAAGAAAGTTTTGGGAAACTGATACAAGTGTGTGGGATACAATCAACAACACAGGTCTCAGGTGAGTAAGTAGCCTGTGCATCTACTGTTTTAGAAAGGATATTATTGTTGGTGCTGGGATTTAGGCAGTGAGAATTTTGATCAGAGAGACCTTTTAGGTGTTTTTCCAACTGGTTTTAGTTGTAGGAACTGGTAACCCAAATCCTCACATGCAAGGCTCACTCTGTTGTCTGACTGGCTAGACAACATCAAGAACTTGACCATCATGTTTAATGTTTTGTAATCAAGAATAAATCAGCATTAAATCTGAAATAGACCCATATATCTATTAGTATCAGCTATCAGCCTTCTATCTCCAGCCGTTTTTGGCTAACCTGCTTCCTAATGTACACATTAACACTTGCAAATATAACTGCACTAAACCTGATAACACTGCTCTTTTACACATTTAGTGTGGGTGTATATGTATGTATGTATATATATATATATATATATATATATATATATATATATATAAAATGAGAGAGAGATGGATAGATAATCACAATTGTTATCAATAAATCAATATTTGATGTGATCATGCCTACCTCATATCTGAAGATACAGATATGTCATGTTTATGCAATTTAAAATCAAAATACATATTACATATTGTCCCTTTAAGTCCACAATTGTTGCATATATTTATTTATCTTTATGCAAAATGATGTGTTTTACGCTAAAAAGAAATTCACAAATATTTTCAGGTCTTAGACTTGTTGTTTCCGTTACAGGGGGCACTATATCTTCTCTGTATTTGCCTCACGTTTAATGGTGGCACAAGGTCATGGTTTGATAGTCACCATTTCATCTATGGGTGGGTTGCGCTATCTTTTTAATGTTGCATATGGAGTCGGTAAAGCAGCAGTAGGTTTAATTCTTTTTTTTTGTTTGAAAATTACAATTGATACATTAAGTAAATATTTGTATGTTTTGTAAAAGTGTGACAGACTGGCAGCTGACATGGCCTTTGAGCTCAAAAACCGAGGAGTAGCTTCTGTGAGCCTCTGGCCGGGAGCAGTGCAAACAGAACTGATCTCACAGTTTGTAATGGAGAAAGATGTAACACAGGGTATTGATCCAAAGGTGGATGGCTCTAAAAAAAAAAAATATTTAAAGTTCATTCACTTTAAATATTTTATTATATGTTAATATTTCTCCATTTTTGGTCACATAGATGAAAGATGTGTTTGTCAATGGGGAAACTACTGAGCTGAGTGGGAAGTGTATCGTCAACCTGGCAAAAGGTATAGCAAATGATATGCGTCCATGAAATCACCAAAACTCACTATAATATTATTATAATAAATTTCATTTCTTCACACAAGATAAAAATCTGATGTCCTTGACTGGCAAAATTCTCATGACTTCTGACCTTGCACGTCGATATGGGATCCAAGATATTGATGGTAATTTTGGATTAATATTTCATTTATCACATTTAGTACAACTGTTTTTTTTGGGGTTTTTTTTAAATTTCTATTTCTACCTCCTACTTTCAGGGCGCAGTGTGACTGATTATACTTCCCTAAAATTTCTCCTGGCACAGGTTCCTTACCTGTCATGGCTCTCACCTGTGGTTCCATCTTTCATAAGATTGCCACGCTTTGTGTTTGCTTTGGCCAGCAGTCGCTTCTAAGATGAGCCCAGTTAATCTACACATGCAACACTTGACTGACTCTTGCACTTTTTGGTGTTCGTTTATTAATTCTAGCTATCTCATATCAATGAAAGAAGTTTTCTATGAAGGATGCACAATTGTAGCACATATAGTATGATTATTGTTTGCACAGTTTTAAAAAGACTAAGTAGAACTGATATAAATAATTGTTGAAAATGTAAAAAGTTTGTTTTGTTATGTTTGGTATTGGGATCGTTCCTCATAATCAATTTCACTATTGGGTTGCTGAGGGTGTATCTAGCTGACTTGAATCCATTTTGCTTTAGAGTGTCAACATTAGGAAGGTTGACAAAATCTCTCGTAGATTAACCTAATGATTGATATTGGCATTATGACATTATGGCCCACAGACGTTTAAAGCTTATAATGAATTATAGATGCTTGGTCTTGGAAAAAAAAAAAAAAAAAAAAAACATTCACCAACTTCAGGGTTATTCGCAGTTCCTTTATGGTCTCATCATGTTTTGCGGGCAAACGGGCCTAGGCTATTTGAAGAGGCGGGTTCCCTGTGGGGAAAGGATATTTACAGACACCTCCATGAACCAATCTATGATCTGCTCCCCCAGACAGGCACACCCACAGAGTTGAGTCATCTGGGGTTTTTTTTTTTTTTTTTTGAGTTTCCTGGTCTTCAGCCCCGCCTCGCCACGATCTGACCGGACGGGAGGAAACACTTGAGTTAAAGAACAAAAGCAGCCACGGACCGGCCGAAGTGTCCAAACTATTGTCATAAACAGAGCTCTATCCAGCCATTCGGGGGTTCGGGCCTTCTGTGACAGGAAGTGGCCTATTACTCAACTCTTCAGGAAGGCGACGAACTTGTATGTTGGTTTCTCAAACATAATCCGCTGAAGTGCTCATTACAGGCAAGGGTCAAACATACGGTCAGACGGTATTGTTTCCGTTGTGTTCCCTCAACCGTCGCCTCCGAGCTCAGAGTATGGAATAGCAGATCTACTTTTGTCCCATCCTGGCCTTCTTTCAACCAAGACAGGGGTTGGTCTGGGTAAGTTTATTTTTACTTTTCTGTGTAGCTCTGTCAGGGGCGAAGTGCGCCTGTGCAGAGAAGCGTTTTAGTTGGTACGCCATGGGTTTATCTGCTTTTGTTTCTGACTACAGCAATATAGGCCTAATTGGGATTTGATTTAAATGCAGTGTACTAGGTTAGACCACAGCGTGTGCCGATGGCAATAACAGCGCAATTTTTATCAAAAAGTTAGCAAAGCAGACGCAGAGAATATACAACGATCTTTTCCTTCAGTGTTCACTGCTTGTCTTTTGACTCCACGTCAGCTGGGCCTAATGAAAAACGAGTTTAATATCAGGGACTTTTGGTGAGATTACGCCATTTTAATAAATTGATGGTTAGCCTTCTTTCCCTCTCGGTTATGTCTATACAATGCGGTTGATATCCCAGTAAGTAAAATGAAATGACACCTGTTGCAGAGCCACGAGTTTATCCCATACACTTATAGTATCACAGTACAGCCTAACCTGGACTTGAATATTACAGGTTGCCTACATTTTTACTTCACTTTCTTTTGCAGTGTCTGGATATACATTTTTTTGGACTGGAGTCTTGGAGATCGGCAGCCCATCAGAGAAAGGGTGAGAAACTTGATTGCAGTGAGCTTCACACATCATACCCCCTCCCATTTACAACCAATCCCCCACATTCACACAACAAAAGTTAGCCACAACACTGGGGGAGGGGAACTGTGGATACCAGCAGTTTTGTTGGGATTCACAATCGGGGGCAGGGTGGTTAGTTTTCTCATTCTTATCAAGGCCAAGAACATAATGCAACACTCATAAGTCAATTAAAACCAAAGATGCTAACAAATTATTTCTTCTAGGTCAAACGGCAACCATCGATATCCTAGATGGAAGTCTACAGTGAAATAAAGGGCAATGCGGCACAACCAGTGGATCTGAAATCCCCTTTGAAAGCCAAAGGGATGGGGTGCAACTTAGAAGGAAATGACAAAGCAAAGCGTGATTCTCACAATAAAAGTAGCAGTGAGAAAAGCGGTATGGCTAGTTTTACCACTAATACTAATTCAGTAGTCTGTCTACCACTTGTGTCTGAAGGATTAAAGTTGGTTTGGACACAGTCTGATCAGACCAGCGAACTTGACTCTATTCCAGAACTGGTTCAGGCCTTTAATTTATTTCCATACCCATCATCTCATGAGGTTAACCTTTTAGCCAAAGTTTGTGTCCTACCACTGGATAAAGTGAAAGTGTGGTTCATGGTACAAAGAATTAAATATGGCATCAGCTGGTCTTCTGAGGAAATTGAGGAAACGCGCAGAAAACTGTCTGTGCCGGAACTTTACGATTCATCTGAAACACACGAGAAAAAGCTCGAGATAAATAACAAGGAGAAGAAATCCAATGACACTGTGGTTAAGGGCACAGTGGAGGAGTCATCATTACTTGCTGCCCCAAAAAAGAAATCAAGATGTGAGTCACCAGATTCCTATAAACCAGCAAAACATACTCCTCCCTGCTTCAGTTCGAGTCTTCCACCCCCACAAGATTCATACTATTATCGCTTACCAGCAGATAAGCAAGAACCTCAGTCAGACTCCACCCTCAATATTACAGAGACACATTCTCAACAAAATCGTCACAGCCGTTACAGAAAATCTAAATCCCAGCTTGCAGCCCTTCGCAAGAGCTTTCTAAGAGAGAACTGGCCATCAGAAGGCGAATTAAGACGTTTGCAGGAGGAAACTGGGCTGAGTCGTAATGACATACGTAAATGGTTCAGTGACAGCCGTTACCAGCTTAGAGTTGGCCGAGGAAGTTTGGCAGCTGCACAGGGCTTTTCTCCCAACTCTGCTGTTGGTTTGAAATCAGATAACATTAATCAAAATCTCCCATTTGTTTCTCAAAAGCATCATGGGCCAACTGATGCGAGTGATTATGAGGAACCTCAAAGCAATTCGGATTTCTTTCAAAATTTTTTGTCCAATAGCTTAGAAGCTTTTAGGGACAGGCCAGAAGTGTATGATTCAGAAGAGCTTTCGAGAGATAGTGAAGACTGCATTAAAGATGAACAAGAACAGCCTTTGCAACTTACTAAACAATGCAAGACTGAGACTGATCCCTTACAGGAACCAAGCAATTTAAAATCGTCACCCAAATCTCCCCCCTCTGACAGCCCACTACAGACATTCTCACCGGTCAAACGACTTTCAAACGGCATCACCACATCAAAGAAGTCAGTCCACTCAACTAAAGCCAGCCCTTCACAAACACTTACGAATTCTTCTTCTATATCCCCCAGCCTCACTCCTGCTGGGCGACCACGCAAGACTAAGGAACAGTTGGACATGTTGAAGCAATACTTTTTACGCTGTCAGTGGCCCAAAGGTGAAGATTACACTGAACTGGTCAAACTGACAGGTTTGCCCCGCGCTGATGTAATTCAGTGGTTTGGGGATACACGATATGCTGTAAAAAATGGCCAGCTACGCTGGGTAAAGGGAGTACGAGACCAACTATTAGCTGAAATTAGTTCCCAGCAGAATGTTGTGAATGGTTCATCACCACGGATTGGGGGCAGCCGCAAACAAAAATCTGCATCCCCTGACATCCAGCCTTTGGTAACCTATTATCATACAACAGGCTTACTACAAGAAAAAGACCTTGACTCACTATGCAAGAAATCAAAAATGAGCTACCAGCAAGTCCGAGACTGGTTTGCAGCTCAGGATTCACTGGACCAAACTGTTGCCATGGACACTAACTAAATATATTTTTGAACAATTAACAGAGGACGCCACTGTGAAGTCTTACATTGTGTGTGTATTGCCTTAATAAAGGCATAATTCAAGTCTTCCCAATGCAGGCCTAATCTTATTATCAGCCCCCACCAATACTTGATTCTATATATTTTCTCAAAACTGTTTTTACACTGGTTTACAATTTTTAGATGATCAGTTACATAGTTGTATGATGTAGCGAAATAATGTAAGGTATAACATGTCTGTCAGCATGTAAAGCATTTTGCATTATGCCTTAGCCATTGGTATCAGCATTAGCTCTAGTCAATAAATCTATTAGTGAAAGCACACTTGACTTTAAATTGACATCTTGCACTTTGAGAGCATGCTGCTAATTATATATTAAGAAAATAAGAAGCATAGTATCAATTCCTGTGCATGTTACACTGCTGTAGTTTCAACTGTATTGTTTTTATTAATTGTATTTTCATTTGCTCACTTTAGTGTTTTTTTTTTTTTTTTATTATTTGAAAACTTTCCAGTTTATGAGCCTATGTGACACCAGATTGTTTGGTTTGTCTTCATTCTGTATCTACAATACAAAAAAATCTGTTCACACTGTATATTTTCTATTGTTTAAATTAAAGACATTTCAGTTTCAAACAAGGGTTTATTCTTTCCTTTTTCAATGGGAATAATGAATGATAGATTAAAGTTGAAGCCCTGTTAGGCATAACATTGGTGAATTTCTTTTACATATATAGCCATGAACAGGACTTTGTGCAAAAAAAAAAAAATCACTGGTGACAAGCTCATTTTTATTTATTGCCTAGAATAGGGCAAATATTTTGTAGTCAACATAAAAACAGTCTTAAAAATGGCAGCAACTCATTACAATACATTGTCAAATTTGTAATCCTGTTAGTTTCTAGGTGACTGTACTGATAATCCACTTAAAAACTGGAACTGAAAAACTTGAGGCGTCTGACTGAGAGTCCTAAAAGACATTAATGTAAGGCTTAATGTTCTCAACTGAAGAAATGTATATTTTAAAACAAAAGTCAAATTAATTCACCTTATAGGGGTACTGAAAGATGCTGGAGTTCCTGTAAAACATGGTTTTCATTAAAACAAAATCATTTACAACAATATCCTTTTACTATGTCTTACTATGGTCCTGAAGAGAGCTGTGGCTGGAAATGGAGGTTGCTGATCCAGGAGTCTGACATACAAAAAGGTCAGTCCATTTACTGAATTGTCAACTACACAAATTACAATTAGCAGTTATTTTAGTTGGCTACAATATCAAGGTGTGCCATGCCCATTTTACTATGCCAAAAAGGTGCATATAGACCTCACCGTAATTCCTACTCCTCTTTCTCTGGCCCATCCCTGTGACTCTGAACTTATTTGACTGAGAGAGAAGAAATTAAACCAGTTAAGAGTGGTGAAGTTAAGAAATAATTAATCTTAATAAGAAGCATGAAATACCTCATAGTTCTTAATCGAGGAGTCACTGTAAGTAGAAGAAAAACATGAAGAAAATAAATATTAATCTACCAACTGCAATAGGAGGTACAAATATTTTAAAAGTAGAAGTTTACCTGGAGATGTGACAGCCACAGGAAGAGACATCCTTTGATTGCTGCAAAATAAAGGCAAATAAAGGTCAAGCAAGGTTTTCTAAAATTTGAAAATTAATTTTGTCTCACCCATCCGTCTGAAACTGTCCAGGGGACACCTGCAGTGAGGATACTGATAAACCTAAAAATTCTTTGGGCACCTTTTACATTTTACCTTCAAAATAATTTACCCTTCTCTGTGAAAGTGGCTTTTTGAGTTCTGCTGTTTCCCTTTGCAATTCAAAAAGTTGCTTTTTTAGAATAGCATTTTCTCTTTTGAGGTCAGTCAGTTGTCTATTAATTAAAAATATTATTAAAAAATAAAATTACATATTTTCAACAAATAATGACATCACCTGTAGCAGTGCTCAGTGACTTCCTTAAGACGTATGTCTAACTCAGCAGCTTTGTGTTTGAAATGTACTGCTGCTCTCTCCATGTGAGTCCTCTGAAAATGTGCTATCTGAATACATAATACTTGAATCAAACATCCCATTTCTCTGTTTTATTATTAGAGTGATTTAAGTACCCACCTGTGATATGTGCTCTTGGCGAGATTGGATGAGCTTTACAGGGTCCTTGAAAAATACTTTTTCCTGCGGCTTCATCTAAACAGTTATGCTATGGCTATTAATTATACTAATGTAATATTTATTATTAAATATATTCAAGTAAAATTCACCTCATCTGTAATAGGTAGAAAACTGCACATGGATCTACATACAACACATTGTTCTTTGTGAAAAGACAAAATTTATGAATTTCTGAAAGTTAAAAACATAATACAATTGGAATTATGAAGCAAGGTTTCTTACTGGATGTGATGCATTTTTCACAGCAGATGTGACCACAGCTGGAAACTGCATACTTTGATGCAGATCTGGTAAAACACTGGTTGCAGTGAAACCAGTCCATTAGTGTTCCTATAATAGATTAACAGTATCACAAATGCATTGCAGCATCACAGGAATCATGTGAAGTCATTTTTCATAATTTGCACCTTCAATCAATTTTTCAAATTTTCAAAATGAATCCAGTTAACATACCCTTGTTACATGCTGTTACCAATTGTCCTTTTACAAAATAGTGGGATGACTAGATGTCCGCATTAACGAGAACAGTCACACTCTTGATCTCCATGTCCCATGTACGAGCAGAATATATCCAAACCTCTTATTCTCAGTTTTATTCAGACATATCTCAGCTGACCAATTTGAAACCCAACCCAGTAAGAAGTCTGGCCTAGTATATATATTTACTAGAGGCCTTTTCTGATGGATTAACCAAACGTTTGTTAGCAGCTAACTAACAAGGTAAATTAAGAAAATCTTCACCCTCACGCTGTCCTCGGAGTCACGTAGACCCGAAGAAACTTTTTTTTCCCTTCTCGCTCTCATGGGTGGGTCAATCAGACCCAAAAATTTATTTTCATTTATTTTGTCGCAAGGCGAGAAAATACATTTTTGGATGGGTCTGATTAACCCGCCCCAAGAGAGCGGGAAGAAAAAAAAAAGTTTCTTCGGGTCAACGTGACCCCGAGAGCGTGAGGGTTAAAATAAGACTGCCTTAGTGAAAGAGACAAGTACAGAGTACAGAAAAAATAGAGAAAATCAGGTTACATTACCCCTCCGTTGTGTAATCTTAATTTTCGAAATGAATTGCGATTCAGTTTGAGTTTGTGCTCTCGGCACTGTGTGCACGTGTCTGGTTGAGACATTGTGATTGGCAGAATACACAATATACTGCTTTAAAAAAAAAAAAAAAGGAACACTTTGAAAACACATCAGCTCTCCGTGTGGAAAAAATATTCTGGATATCTTTACAAACATGGAAAGCGATGTCACCTCTTTTAATGGAAATAATATTTTCAGCCTACAGAGGGCTTAATTTTTTAGACATCCTGAAATTCAAAATGAAAAAGATGTGTAAAGGCTAGTCCATTTTGCCAAAATTTAATTTCTAACTTAAAATGCTTTTCAATACCTTGTGTGGCCCCCACATACTTGTATGCATGTTTAACAATGTTGTGGCATGCTCCTAATGAGGCAACAGATGATGTTTTGTGGGATGTCCTCCCAGATCTGTGTGCTCCTGTAGAGTCTGAGGAGCAACCTGGCGGCGTCTGATGGACACAAAGATAATGTCCCCAAACATCATGTCCCAGAGGTGTTCTGTTGGGTTTAAGTCAGGTGATCATGAGGGTCAGACATCCTTCAGGTACTACCTCCATATTCTTGCCACTCGAAACCAGTCACTGTCGTGCATCAGGAAGAATCCAGGCCCTACTGCACCAGCGTAGGGTCCAAGGGTTCAAAGATTTCATCCCACTTCTAGCTAGTAGAGGTCTGTGCCATGGATATGTCTCCCCAGACCATCACTGACCCACCAAACCGCTCATGCTGAACGATGTTGCAGGCAGTATAGCGTTTTCCTTGTCTTCTCCAGACTCTGTCCTTCAGGTGCTCAGGGTGACATTGCTCTCGTCTGTGAAAAGCACAGGGCACCACTGGCAGATTTGCCAATTCTAGTGCCTACTAGCAAATGCCAGTGGAGCTCCACGGTGCCAGGCGGTGAGCACAGGACCCACTACAGCATGTGGCACCCTCAAGCCACCCTTATGAAGTCTGTTTCTGATTGTTCGCGCAGAGACTTTAACGCCAGTGGGGCACGGGTAGTGCTCAACCTGTTCCATCTTGTAAAAGGAGCAGATACGGTTCCTGCGAATGGGCTCAAGACCTTTTAGGTTCCTGTCCAGCTCTACTTGACTAACAGCCTGTCTCCTGAAATCTCCATGTCCTGGAGATTGCGCTGGAGACACATTAAAGCTCCTTGGCATGGCAAGACCGGACGTGCCATCCCCGAGAAGCTAGACAATCTGTGTAGCTTCTGTAAGGTTAAGGAATGGTCATATTCCCAGTAGTGATGCACTTTAACCAAAGCCAGCACTAGGGGAAAACCACCCAAAAAGATCCAGAGTGAGAAACTTGAAATGACCTCCACATGCAAAACCAGTCCTGTTTTAGGGACTGTCTCATTGTTGCCACTCCAGTGCACCTGTTGTTCATTTCAATTAGAAGTGGTGTCATCCTTCTGTTCCTAAGATATTGCCCTGCCCATATTTGTATAGATATCTGATGGGTTTTTAAAGTTCCTTTAATTTTTTTGAGCAGTGTACTTAACTCCTCCTATAACAGAAGGGGGACACAACTCCAACATGTCCGACTTTGTCATGTATCACAATGTTAGTATATACAGTTGGACAAGTGGTAAATCCAGAGTAATAAGCTTTAATTTTTATAGCAAGCCTAATAAAATCTGAATATAGCATCCCATGGCCGTGCTTGAGTACTACCACAAGTGGTATGGTGCTGGACTATTCTGTTGCACCTCTTTTGCCTATGCAAGCTTCATTCCTCCCCCATTTTAGTGTCATTTTTACTTTGTTTAACCTTGAAATATCACAGGAGATATACTTGAATTGTGAAATTAGTAAAAAATTATCCCTCCCAAGCAGGAGCACAATGTCATACTGTTCTAAGGAACAGTCATTGATCATAATATCCTTTGTTAAAAAAAAAAAGTTAAGTAAAGACCGTATGAAAGAGTTGGAGCTTTTCAATTCTTTAATAAAATTATTTATTGGAGTTCACTCAGAAGAGGCTCTGGAGCAGAAACAGTGTTGGTCAATAAAGGCATACAGTCATTATTAAATAGTAAAATGGTAAATACTTACATCGCTAAACTCAGAAATCATGATTGGCCCAAGCACCACTTCATGGACCATTTCATTTCCTGCGAAATAATTGATTTGAATAATGATTCAGAGTTGGAAAGTTCAGCAGAAATAAAATTGTAATTTTATATACCTAATGGAGTACTTCTAATCTTTCTTGCATTGCAACTTGATTCACAGCAGTCACAGAGACTGTTATAAGAAGGGTTGTCTACCAGTTCCCATCTACAATGAGTTTAGGACATTTGTCACTGTATTGCACGCTCAATAATGTTTCATCTGGCACTGTACCAAATAGTTACCCATGGCCTTGGACATAGTTGCAGGCCTTTTTTGTCTTATCAAGGCCAACAGGATCCCATGCCACAAGTGTGCAGTGAACATATACCTGTCAAATAGGAACTAAATCAGTATAGGAAAAAGGACACAAAACATAGATGATATTGTATTTCACCTGCTCCCCAGTTGAAAACCTGAAAGCTTGGAGAAATCCAAGGATTTCTGACGACTTTTGGCGTGGTATAAATCTTGAGCGTGAGACTTTACTGTCCACAAGACATCTGCAAATAAATAGTACAAGTCATTTTCCTGTAAAGGAGTTACAGTTGAGTCTAGCCAAGCATATCGGTACCCTTTATTGGTTATTATTGTGTATTTATCTCCATTTGGTGACAACTGTGGTGTGGTGGCAGCAACACATTCCTCAATAAAGAGCTGCAATGGCTGGTGAGATGCCTGTTGCACACTTGCCATAATTGGAATAAGAGAGCCCAAAGGAAAACTGGAGGACTCAGCTGGCCCTGTGAAATCATCTAGAAAAAAATATTAGCACACATTTGAAATCAGGTTAGTTTATCTGGTTACAGTTACATAAGAAAAGCATAATTTAGTTTACGGAGGATGCAAGTTCAAATCACAATGACGAAAGACAGGTTCATTGCAAAACACCTACTGTTCATTATTCCAATGTGGAAAAGAAGTTCTCCTTGACCATATGTATCAAAAACAGGATTATAGATCATAGGGTACCAATCCTTTGGCCTGCACAAAAAATAAAAGAGGATCCAGATGAATTACAATAGCACATGTTGAAGAACATTCATTTAAACCCAACAGTCCTTACCTCTGATAAACACATGTAACCGGGAGACTGAAGGGAAGAAGTTCCAACTCAGATGACACATATGTAAGATTATTGCTGTATTGCAGAAGGTCTCCAGTAACCTAAGAATGGAAATGGCATCGTTAAAAAAGATAAAATGTTTTTTCTTCACATACACACTAGGTCTACCCACCAGTTTCCTGAATTTACAAGCATTAAGTTCCACTTTAAAAATTGCCTGAGTAGCCGTTACGCTGGTGGGAAAACAGTTCCCCAGGCGATACTGTGAGGTATCTACTTGTGGTCTGGTCTCTGTCCATACCAGTGAAACAAAATCCTGCTGACAGTCCAGTTTCATGTCTTTAAAATAAACATTATTTGGTTATATTACATCATTAGATCTACTGTTCAAAGTGTGATTTAAATGGCTGATTTACTGTTACCTGCATGCACTGAAACAAGACTGCCAAAAGCTATAAAAAAGGCAAACTGACAAAAGGTAGCCATTGTGACAGTACAAGTGTCACTGGACCCACTGCCCTTTTTTTTTTCACTGCAGCAAAATCTAATTAAGCACAGCTGATTCACCTGGTGTATGCCATCCAACCCAGGTGCAGGCCAACGTCACACACTAATTACAACCTGTGAAATTCAGAAGGAACTTAGGTCATTTTATTTAGCTTGATTCCAAAATGCAATCAATGCAAGTCTATATCACATTCTCAAGTTTCAAAAAAAAAATAAAATTGACAAAACAGATAATCACTGATATTGCTTGAGCCAGTGCCCTTGTCTTACATAACCAGACAGTAACATAGGTTAATTTGACTTAAATCAAGTCCCCATACAATTGATCAATGATGATTTTTAGTACAAAAGGTTACATTTTATATAGGATTACAGAATTCAAAATATAATTGAGATGGAGATTTAGTCATTTCTAATTCTCAGTGATCAGTTTGGTGTAATAAATAGGTAGAAAACCATGTGGTTTGGAATGGCATATTGAAATAATAAATTGGGCTACAGATACCATGTTTACATTCATGAAATCAATGTTGAAAGGCATTTTTATTTAGTTTTTAAAATGAAAATTGAAACAAATTTTCCATTCCATCCATCCCTTTTTTATAGTGCCCTATATTCAGCATTAATAAGATGACTGTTAGGTAGTTTATACAGCAGAGTTTAAAGAATCTTTTAGATCTTGCAAGTTCTGATGATTGCCTTTTTACACCATTAGTGGGCATATTGGTCTTCAAACTCAGAATTAATCAATTTCTTTAATTCACTGTCATACAACAGTAGACGTGGATCCAGTTTTTGTGTCCTGCACTCCTCGGTCCGATTGATCAACTATAATTACTGGTCCTACAATGGAGTGGTAGGAGAGAGCTTCCAATTCTGAAACAAGATACATCAATTACATATGGCAAAAAGAAAACAAAACATAACAAAAGAATCCTGAAGTTCTCAAGTACCAATATCAATGTGTCTCCTGGATCTTGTCATGCAGTTCGAAGCACAGCAACTACAGATGGAACTCTTTTCCGGACTGTCTAAGAGCTCCCAGCTAAAAAAAAGGGGACACATTACCACAAGATCTCAGAAGAGATAAGAACCAGAATGAGACATAATAAAGGGAAAATGTGTTGAACATAGAGCTGCATTAAAAAGAAAAGCTATGAATCGTAACATGTCCAAAATGGCATATTGCCCCAGATCAGATCGTAATTGAATTTTTATTGTCAGCCCTAGTTGTGACAGTTTTACAATGTCTAATGCAATATTACCTCCCACTCTTTTTAGAATAATAGCAGGCCTTCTTTGTCCTATCCAAATGGTCTGGGTCCCAAGCAATCAATTTACAGTGTATGTACAACTATGTGAAAACAACATTTTAGTTAGTTGACAAATTGCAAAGTAAAATTTTCTCCATATGTCTACCTCCTGTCCGAGTCCAAATCTGAACGACTGAAGATATACGATGATTGAAGACGAGTGATATCGAGGAAGGAAAACAGAGTTTCCCACCTGACTTTCCACAAGACATCTAAAGAGGTTAGCAAAGTTCAAAAAATAAGCCTAGAAGTGATAAGTGAAAAATGGATTACATTAAATTTGATGAGAGCCTTCCCTACCCTTGATTAGTAATGAGGGGGTACACTTGGCTATCAGGATAAAGCTTGGGAGTTGTTGCTGCAATACACTCCTCCATGAGTAGCAGTAAAGGCTGATGGGACTTTTGATCTACTGCAGCCCATATTGGCATGAATGAGCCCAGAGGGATAATATTACTTTCTGCAATACCCGTTAGTTCAGCTGCAAGCATAAAAAATAAAATAATCAAATTTGTATTTTTGTGTGTTTTTGTTTCAGGCAGCTCACCATTTAAAAGAGCCATGTGGAAAACCAAGCCTCCTCGAGCTTCAGATGAACCTGCTCCAGGATTTAGGAACTGTGGAACCCAACTGTCAGGTCTAAAGCGTACACATGGAAGACATCAAGCACAAACATCAGTTGTTTCATAAAACCTTTCCCAAAACACAAAAAGCATACAATCAGAAAAAAATACTTAAACCAAGCTGCTCAATACCTTTTAGTTACACACTTTATAGGAAACACAAAGGCTGCAGGTTTCATCCTTTGTTGTGGCCTGAAGGCAAGTTCATTTTCAAATATAATGTACTTCCCTTTCATCTTGAAGAGAAATATAAATTTAGTGTCCTGGTTAGTGGTCTGTAATGCACTTAACCTTAAAGAGTTTTAGATTACCCGCTTTTTAAATCTGCACTCTGCAAATTGATAATGAAAGAGCACTTCCCCGTCTCCAGTGGGCAAAACATGGAACTGTGATGGTTTGCAGTTTCCAAGAAAAATGCGTGCCACATATGGTACCAAATCGGCTTGGATTCTCCATGCAATGCTCACAGAGTCTTTTAAGCAGGATACTTTGATATCTGAAAGCAGAGGACAGTTTGTGTTGCACTTCAAACATAAAGCAAGTACTAATTTCAACATGCAAAAAATACCTTCTTTAGCCAGTGTTGCTGAAAGAACCGCTACTATAACACCTAAATGAAGTACAGTTATCATGACTTGCAGATTTCACTCTTGACAAATAACATTCAAGAGAACTTTCGGTCTCATTAGGTCAATGATCCACATCTGCGTCTTCTTCCTCTTCTTTGATTTAAAGATAAGTGCCGCAACCGCATCTGTGTGAAACAGACAAAACAAAAAGTACAGCCACTGCATATTCAACAAGTTATTTAACTTTTTTTTTAGCTTGTGCATGTGATCATATTAAAATATATAAAAGTATTTAAAACAAAACACACATGTTTATCAAGAAAAGTGATTGAAATATGAATGGCTGGAGTATTATTTTTTTTATAGACAACGTTTTCCTTGCCCGTTATGCGGGTAATTAGAAATATATACGTTTAAAAGGTATTATAACGTATTATAAAATAAAAAAAATAAAAATAAAAAAATTAATTTACCAAAACTTCTGTCGCTCAGTTAGGCGGAACTTTGCTTTGACGGCTTCTCGCCAGGCGGGAACATTGTTTGAGCTGCACAGGAAGTGAACTCAACCGGCCAAGCAGATCGTCCACTGTTTTGTTAAATTATATAATTTTAGGCCCACAGACTTAATTCAAGATGTTAATTAAAGTTAAGGTAAGCCCGTATCTTGGTTTCCCTTTCTTCATACATCAGGCATGGCTTTAGTTATCGTGCTGTGAAGCTGCTACATACAGTAATTTGCTTGGTAACAATGGCCGAAAACATCACTGGATATTCCTATTCTGAACGTCTCATTTTTTATGTCAAGATTTTCGCTAATGTCTTCAGTAGCCCATATTCATTGATATCCACTCATAGTTTTGTAAAAGCTCGTATTGGTGAGCGGATTGTGGTGTGTTTCTCTAGCCTGACAACATGTATGTTTATTTCAGACTCTCACTGGAAAGGAAATTGAGATTGACATAGAGCCAACAGATAAGGTCAGAAAGTGTTTATAGTAAAATAGGCAATTATACATTAAGTGTAGCAGTAAAATGTAATTTTGCATTTGTTTTATTTAGGTGGAACGAATTAAAGAAAGGGTGGAGGAAAAGGAAGGGATCCCACCGCAGCAACAAAGACTCATTTACAGTGGAAAACAGATGTAAGCACGTCAGTAGTATTTGCTTGGTCATATTTCACAAATGTGTGATAATATTAATATTGTTTGTCTTTAGGAACGATGAAAAGACAGCAGCAGACTATAAGATCCAAGGTGGCTCAGTGCTCCATCTCGTGTTGGCATTAAGAGGAGGAGTGTACAGGCCTTGCTTACCCACATCCATGTCCTGAATAACTGTCTTCACTTGCCCAGCAAAAGTCATTTTGCAACACAAAGATCTGGAAATTATGCAATCCTGGTCTAAAACCATACAATGTCACCCATAAACATGGACATACGAATTCTTTATAAATGTTTTTCTTAGTTTGAAAGTCACGCAGGAAGGCAACACACAGAACAAACCTGAGAAAACTGTGCTTTTGCTTGTGAATAAATGGTTGAGTTAGAAAAAGTGTTTTCTCATTCAGTTAACACATGTATAAACCTAAAAAATTATGTTAAACAAATGGGTACCAAATCAAGACAGGAATAGTTTATTAGAAAACAACAATTAGTGTACACTTGTAACACATTGGCCCTGGGTTCAAAATAATGTACACCAATATCATGTTGATTGGATAAAATCATTTTTGAGCTGTGTCAGTGACTTCTATGAATAATAAAAATGGAACATTCTCAGCTGATGCTAATGATTTCTTTACTAAAACAGCTAAAAGTTCTTCACCCATTCATATGCAACATAAAATACTTTATATTTACATTTATTTAAAGAGCATTTAAATCTACTCTAAAGAGATGTCTGTAAACTATAATTGAGGTAATAAAGAAACCCTTTGTATTAGAAGTTAATAAGCTTCATAAAATTCAGTTTCAGTAAAAGAATTCTATTTGGAAAGGCACAAGAAAATTAAAACTAGTCATCACCTATTTATTTTGTATAAGTGGCTTTCTTAGCAAACCCCCAAGCATCAATAGTAAACAGTGATTGATCCTATTGTCTGAGTATCATTTAATACATGCATAAAAAGTATAAAATACAAGTGTTTTTGTTCTATAAATTAATAGAGTCTTGTTTTGTGTTGTAAGTAAAAAACGCTTAATATTTTCAAGTCACACAAAGATAAACAGATTTTATGTAGGTGTAGAACAGCAGCAACTGTTATTATACAAAATTTAACATCTGTGACATCAAATACAGTTTCATCAAGGAGTGTTAGCTGTGCTTTGTGTAGGGTTTAACTACCTGCACTCAGGTAAAGAGTCAACCTGAACTGTATCCTGAAAAGCAACTGCTTGACTTGTAAAGGACACGCGTATCCTCATCTTTAGGTTCACCTGAAAATTGTAAATCCATAAAGTTGGCAAGCTATAAGAAATGTAACATTTACTTGCAGTGCAGTGCTACTTTACCTTGTTAGGATTGTTGAGTACCACCACCTGTGTGACCTTAGCTGTGCCACAAGCAGGAAGACAGTCGCCACTGGGAGCCTTCATAAGTAACTGTACACTCTAAAAAGAGAGGGTTTGAGAAAACAAGTCCCAAAATGGAAGTGGTGCTTTGAGGGTGGAGGACAAACCTTGGGCACTGCTGCCTGAAGAGTGAAAGCAGTGATATCTGCGTCAGTGGAATTGGAGGCTGTCAGAGTGACAATCAAGCCTGTTTCTGACTGTTTTTCACAACTTAGTGTCAAAGTTACCCCATTCTTCTCATACACCGGCATAGCGGGCACTAAAAGAAAGACAAGACATACAATACTAAAGCACTGTACAAAGATATAATACTAAAATTCTTCACAAAACCCTAAGCACTTTCAAAATCCTTTGGAATGTAACTAAGAGTGTGTTCACACTTGACCTTGCTGGGTTCTGGGTCGAGCCCAATTTAGGCCTGGTGATAGGTCTGCTTTGGTCCTGCTCTACTCCTTCGTTCAGAAAGGAGTCCCTTTGATGAGGGGAGTGTATATGTATATTTTCTCAGTACTGACCTGGTGTGGGCGGCATGATGTCTAACCCCCCCAGTAAATCCAGTAGGTCTCCCCCTGGACTGCTGGCATTGTTAGAGGACTGGCCAGGAGAAGAACTTGGCTTCACACTATCATTAGAGTCACCCAACAAATCCAAGAGGTCACACACCTGGGGAAATACAATATTATATACAGAATAATTAAACAACATACACTTGTATGAATGCATCAACCAAATATAATCTCTACACACTTGACTAGGAGGTGGCTGAGTTGGTGGTTGATCCTGAGTGACTTTTACTGTCTGAACTTCTTTGACAAACTCTCCTGTTGTCTCTCCATTAGTCTGACCAGTTGAGTTTTTCTCCATTATGGGCATCCTCTCTAACACCGCTGCCCTGTAAGAGCACAAAATGTAAAGAGTTTTGTGCTTTTCAATTAATGAATGGTAATGCTCCAACTATGTTTTGTACCTCATGTGGTCATATTTTTTGAACAATGCATTATATTCAACCGCTCTCTGCTGGAGCTCCAAATCTATACAGCTGCCATAGATACTGACAATGCTTCTGATCCGACTGGTAAAAACAAAGCAGAATACCAGAATGTTAATATTTTAACGGTGCTTCTCATTGTACTACATTTTTAACTTGGCTATATATGAACATGCAAATGAAATTAATAGTTCTTACTCTACGTTCTCTGTGATGCGTGTACTGAGTTTCATTGTAGCTGTCAGGGCAAAACCTCTTGTGGCAGGAGATGACATGTGGGACTGTAGAACGGTTTCCAGAGCATCTAGGACATCATTTTCATTTACCTTTTGCAAAACAGTAAAGATATGAGGAAAAAAATGAAATAAATCTTTCAGCAATAACATTTAAAAAGAACGTGGAGTAATTATAATTATACCTGCACTGGCTCAATTTCTTGACAGTCTCCTTTTAATAGAAGGTCACCATATTCTCCTATGCACCAACAAGCCACCTGGACCAGGGGTTGCTGTTAAAAAAAGAATGCATATATTTTATATATATGCATTATTTATATATATATATATAATGCATATATATATATATATATAAAATCACAATGCAGGTGAGTGCAAACACCAGACATGCTATGGTATAACTCTCTTACCTGAGAGATGTCCTGCAGCAGAGCTTTGTACAGTTTGTGCACAGTGTAGCAGTGCAGTTCCGATGCTGTAGTGATAAGCTGGATCAAGTTTGGAACGGTTTCATCTCTTACATCGCCCCCTGCCTGTAACAGTGGGTATTACAAATACAATAAAAAACAAACAAACATGCAGGTCGCTTACTAACTAGGAATCAAAGGGATCCTTTTTTTAATCGGACTGAATGACAAAATTTTCAGTAAAGGTTCTATTCATGTATTTGAGGCTAATTATTCCTTCCTAATCTGAATGATTTTGTGAGGTCCTTTCACCATCAGAAGATATAATATTTTGGTTTGAACTGCATCATTGCTAACAACAGAGTACAGTTGCAATGACAAATCCTTAAAATCAGAAACCCAAGAAAAAGTTGGGACATGGCACAAGACAATAGAATGTTTGTGATGGAGGATAGGCCAGAATTCTAAACTAACAAAAATGTGACACACAAAAACAAATTAAAAGTGAGACTAGCTGACAAAACATTTTAAGAATAATAATTAGTGAGTGCATTTACCGTGGTAAGAACATGCAGAATGGTGTCAATGTGCCACCGCTGAGAAGGTGAATATCTGGCAAACAAGGAAAACACATTTGTGTTTTATTTTTTTGTCAAATGGCTACATAAAGCCATAGTATGTGCAGGAAAATACTACAGGGTTGTTGTTGTGCTGTGCTCACAGTAAAGACAGAGATGTCATTCAGGCAAAGACATGTCGTCTTACATTCTGCTAAACAGTAGTAGTAGTGTGTGCATTAATGTGCACTGTTGCACTGAAAGTTCATTTATTAAACTCGATTGTTTAAGGGTGGAACATTTTTAAGCCTTTACTGCTTACCTTTCAGCTGCTGCAAAAATGCCACTTGCTGCTTGAGCCCTGAGCTCCAGTGGACAGGTAGAAAGGAAGGTGAGAAGCTCCTTCATCATGGAGCGAATGTTGGAGGCAGAAACCAGGGCCAAAGAGAGCTCTAGTGCACGACTGCATTTGAAGGTTATTGTTAGTTTATAAAAATGAATACTGCATCAACCAAACAAGAGTGTAGTGCTAGAAAAACTAGAGAAAATGTTTACCGTTTGACAGAGGCATCAGGATCTTTTAGACAGTCCACGATGGTTCCCCTATGACGTTGGACTGCAATGTGATCTGTCCCAACTATCTTTTGAAGAGATGTCATAGCTATGTACCTGAGCACAACCAATCATAACATTTTAATAAAAAAAAACATACTTGTATTAACTCCATTGTTTTGCGTAATGGAAATCCCCCAAAGTTTATATTGACCCCTGATGTACATGACTTCTACTCATATATTTAGCTTGTGTAGAGATGTTATCGGACTTTCAGGTCTCACTGGAGTTAAACCACTCATATAGCCACAGTCAGAGACCTGTACTTGCAGGTAAAACCAGACGGGCAAGTCCAGTCACTAGGGTTAGCGATATTAAGGTCCCATAATGAATATTTAAAACCAAATTGTGATTTCAGTCTGACATAAACAAGCAGAACAAGATAAAAAGCATTAAAAACTAGAACTGACCGTATATTTCTGTCATTGTTAAGTAGAAATCTTCCAAGTATATTTACAGCCAGAACCTGGGGAGACATCATTATAGCAATTAGCATCATTAAAGGGAGGGTAAGTAGACTGTGCTCTTGATCTTTTAAAAAGGAACTACAGTCATAACTGAATGTGGGTTGCCAGTGCTTTAGCCTCATCCAATCCAGATCACTGTCAGTATACAGAGAGGCCATGCCTCATGTGAAAACGCAGACCCTTTTAGGTAGAGATAGGCCAACATACAGGGCTGATATTTTTTTTACTTATTAACAGTTTGGCAATCAGCCTTAAATCTCAAGCATTTTGTTTTGGGCAATGTACTGCCTAGAAAATAAAGACAAAGCTTTATATTAACATGTTAATATGAAAAGATAACAGCACAAAATGAGACTACACAGCTCTCTTACCGGTTTGTGGTAATAGGGGGGTAGTTTGTAGTTAATTTAAATTACACCAATTCGTGAATATAGTCAGAATCAGTCCTACATAACTGCCCCAAAATATCAGCAGAACATATGGGTCATCAGTTGCTCTGTATTCTAAATTATTGGTAACAGCAGTAAAAAAAAAAAAAACTATATCAGTCGATCTCTACTTCTAGGTTTGATTTGAAAAAAATAAAATATGAAATGATAACATAAACAACTTAGCCATCATTTTGAATGTTTTTGTAACCCAAAGTAAATCAACATGACAATGACAACAACGATATTTGATTTGAACATAAACATGATTTCTCTGTGTCTGAGGATACAGATAGGTCATGTGTATGATGTATGAAATAAAAAAAATCAACATACAGTCCCTTTAAAAACTATATAACATCCTTGTAACTCACCCTAAGTCCGCTCTCTGACTTGATATCCAACACAGTGAGAACAGTCTCATACAAAACAGCATTGCCAGCAGTCTTTGTGCTATCTGTATTGGTCGCCACCTGAAAATAAATAAACAAATAAATACATAAATAAATTCCTCAAATATAAGGATGTAAAAACAAGAATATTTGTGCTTTACATGGTTTTCTAAGGGTGTCTTGGCCTGCTGAAAAAGGGGTTTACCTGAGCTAGTAAATCATTCATAGCATCACTGGCTACTTCATTATTGTGTCCCAAAATTCTTAGCAGTCTCAGGATGCGGACCTAGCAATGAGAAAAGTACATTTGAGTTTTAGCAAATATTAGTTAGTTAAAAAAACTTAGGTTATACTAAAGCTCCACTTTAAATAAGACTCACCTGTAAAAAGGGGTCACTGATTCCAGCCACATCGTGTTCTGGGGAATAACCTGAGAGCACTAGGCCCTTCATAATATGGACCAGCTCCGGCACCGACTGACAATAGTATAAATCACACATAATTAACACATTAGACAAAGTAGAATGTGATGAAACAATTCAGCATGTTTTAGGTGTCCTGTACCTTTCTGAATCGCTCCAGTGTTTCCGGACTGCGCTCACACAGTTCAGTGATGAGCACCACAGCTCCATGCAGCACCCCTGGATAGAACATATTTAACTGACTGTATAATTCACATTATTTATGAACATGAGACTGGGATATCTCACCATGGTTCTTCTCAGAGAGAAGTGTGCGAGCAGCAGGAGCAAAAAGTTCCCCAAGGTCATTAACTTTTCTAACAATATGAACTGCACAAAGTGCAGCCTGAAGACAAGATAAAGGTGAGATGAAGGGGTGCACTATTAATAGTTCATTTGAAATTAGAAACATACCTTTTTCTTGATGTAGGAATTTGAGGACCGAAGCAGTTTGTCAATCTCTGGTGCTAGATCTCTACACATCTCAGCTGAACCCATACAGGCCAAAGTGCACAAGGCCAGGGACTGCACAAACTGGCTACTGTGGGAAAGATCACTGCAAACACATAAAGATCTCTGACATAACTATACATTTCAAAGTGAAATATTGTGGCAGATGGATAAAAGAGCAATATCCTACTTTTTAATAGAGTTGGTGATGAGGAGGCTAGCATCTTGCTTTTCATCCAGTAACATCATAGCTCCCAAGTATCCCACACGCTTCTCACTGTAGCGAGGGCTGGCAATCATACGGACACACTCCATCTAGTAACAAAAGTCTTTTCAGTATTTCAAGATAATTAGACTGATACAAACATGGCCTTGAAGACCTTTTCTACTTTGTGGCAGCAGGGGTTTGACTCTTACTTCAGTGGCCTAGTTTCTACTTGTACATGCGCACACATTAACTCACATTAGCCTAGTGCAGCAGACAAGAGCTGATATTGTGTGAATAACAGCTAAGGGATAACACTACTATAATGACTCTGAGACTGCTACTGAAAGTGCCCAGGCACAAGAGTGTTAGTCAAATGTTTGCGAACATGGGGTATGCTCCTTTCATGTGTCATTCTTACAATGAATTCACATGTAATCACCAAATGTTGTATAGACTCTGGTTTGTCCTAAGAGGAGCTCAGTGAGGTTCACCTCAAAACTGTTAAGTCACTGGCACTCTTGCCTTTATGGTGCTGTTGCCTTTATGTAATAGGATACTTCTTGTGCATTTATATTGTAATACTTATTGTTATTGTATTTGCAGTAAATAAATAAATAAAATTATAGGACATGAGATTAAATTTCTACAGTAGCACAGGATATCTTATAGTTATAGACTGTGCATTGATGTTACCAGCTACAGCTATATATCAGCTACGATTAGCTTATCACTGTAAACCGGTGTTTCTCAGACTGTAGTACATGTACCACTGGTGGTAGGCTTGATATAGGTGATAGGTGATTTAGAGCATTTTTTTGTCCCTTAACTTTTGGCATTGTCCTCACAGCTTCCCAATCATCAGGCAAACCCATGACATGCATTAACTAAATCTCCTCACCTGACCAAAGTGAGCCGGGTAGCCCAGCATGTGCACATAAAGGAGTTTGGCCAGATTGTGTGATCGTCCCTCGTTGTCAGCCTGTCTAAACTGTGCCCGAATAGCAGCACACTCCCTCTGGATGACCCCCCGCTCCTCACACTGGGTCCGGGCCGACCGGATGGCCCGAATCATCTCCTGTAGGGGTACTGATGGGGACATCCTGCAGTCTGTGTAATATGCAATCAGATATGAGAGGAAAATGACAATATATGAACAAATTAGATGAGATGTTATTTGGCATGACTATACAGATATTTCACTTCCTGGATGATAGGTGTTTCTAATGCAGCAGTAATAACAAATCATAGTTTATTGTCACTATAACAACTAAGGTGCATACACTTAATTGTACTATATTTGTAAATATCATTATTTAGTGATATGACCTATAGCCTATATTGTATAATTTGCTTTTACAAATATGTAGATTAAAAGTAAATAGTGCCCGACTTTAAATGTTTTAAATCATTACTGACAGTCGGTTACAAGCTGTCAAAAAACTAAAACAAACCATGACCACATGTCTTAGCAGGTCATACAACATCCAGAGAGCGGCTAGCCCACTGGCTGGACTGGGCTAACCTTGTAGATGCTGTCAAGCCTGTTTTGGAGGAGAGTGGCCTGTTTTTAAGCTAACCACTGAATACCAAAACAACATAAAGGTAAAGTAGCATTTTGTAAATCAAATGTGTACATAGTGACATACCTCACAGCTGTGCAAACTCTGGTCAGTATCCAAAAGTGAACCCGTTTTACCGACTACCATCAGATACTGGGCAGTTCACTGTTGGCTGGGCACCGAGTTAGGATCTGGTTAAGTCAACAACACGAGCGCACCACTTCCGGACGTACCTTCAAAACAAGATTCTTGACTGTGGTTTTATTATTTCATTTCTAGTATCAAAATAGTATTAATGCTATTCTTTCGTTTCAAATTATAACGATCCATAACCAGATCTCAACATCTGTAAAATATTTCTATTTCCAACATTGTTAAAGAATAAAGATTAAAGTCAGCCAGCCATGATTTCACCAGTAAAAAGGCAAATATAAAATGGTCTAACGCACGAAGTGAATGGTGAGTAAGCAAACATCTGTAATCTCCCGTGAATTACATTATCAGCAAAAGCTTGAGTACTTGTATTGTCATTGTGGGCACTAAGGTATATTTTATTATGAAGATACGGTCTACTTACCTTTTTTGCCTCAGTTTGCTTCATAAAGTACACCTTTTTTCTCGTCATGGACAGTGACACTTCCGCAATGTGATCCAGTATCCCGGAGACTCCACCTCTTTTTCACCAGGTGAATCAAACATTTATGAGCCTATGCTGCCACCAGCAGTTTTATCAACCTACTGCCTACATCGTTTGACCCGGGCAAATATATATAAAGCAGTTACAATAATAGGCAAATTATATGCTCAGAGAAAATAGCCCTTTTCCCACATCTGAAATGAAAGCAGTTTTAACTTCAGACGTAGGTCTGCGCCTTTATTAAATGAACTTGGCATGCTTTGGAAGACGAATGGAATATCAGATTAAAGGGACAGCAGCATAGCTTTATCCCACCGCAGAAATACCATGAGAAAAAGTAAGAAAAGCATTACAATATGTTTTATTGATGTTTCACTAACAAAATACAGACATGAAAAGACAACAAATGAAGTGACAGCAAGGAACCTGACCAATTTCTTAATTTTAGAACAGGGCTTTATGTATGCAGTACTTGGAATGTGTTAAGGCAGGAGAGTTGTTACATTAACATGTTTTCTGCAAAACAACATTGAAATAAAGCATAAAAAGTGGTGCACTGTATGACCCAATGTGAAAAGTAAGTCCTCACTCATAAAGGAGATGTATTTGTAGTCAGTAAGTGCTTAAAGAGAGCCATGTCACTGAGAAGACCTAGTCATTTTTATCAATGTACTTCGAGCAGTAATTTCTTATAACATACTTGCGTATTAAAATTCTATTTCAAATGGCTTGCACACACTACCTGTGCCATCTCCTGGCGTTATCACCACAACACATTAAATGCAGGGTACTTCAATTGAGCCCACGTTAGAAATAGCATGGGTGACAATGGCCCTGATGAAAGAAAAGCTAATTTGTAAGTCACAGGCCAATAGTGTAGGAGCGTCCTGCCGGGTTGTGGATGGCGGAGCAGGAGGGCTCAGTTACAGCCCATTCATACCACACCTTCTTCCCGTTGTTGCAGCGCCAGAAACGCACAGTGACATTCTCATCCCGGGAAACGGAGATTGGTTGCTGTATCAAAAGAGAAAGAATGATGTTGGGTTTTGTCACTCACAACACAAGTTTTTCCTAAAAATATTGATTTTTACTTTAAGGGGGAACAAGATGGGAAACCATGAGAACATCCCAGGTGAATGTGTATCTGGTTTTATACCTAAAGGACAAAATATAACATTTATAAATTACTTAATTTAAAAATTAAATGGTAAATGTGACTCACTAAGTGTAACATCTTTGTACAGTGTTGTCTCGAAGTAGCCAGCAAAACCATGCAACACGGAGTTACATGTTACAGGAAATCGGAGGCACTGGTAACGATTATTATCCATGTCTAGTAAAAAGGAAATAACACCATGAAAATAAAAGGAAATACTTTAACAATAACTTAATTATTTGTGAATTACTTGTTGTGGGGTGAACAAAAGTGAAGCAAGGTTTGGGCTCTGCCAGTTGATGAAAGTTATGAAGTCGCACAACGTATGGGGTCTCAAAATGACACTCTGGATGCTTGTCACGTTCTCTACATCCTCGCACCTCATTGTAAAGCTTTGATGAAGACAGCGGTGCCAGGAATGATGTGTAGGAACAGGGAATGCTGACTCCATCACCTAAAGAGAAAAGGTAGTTAGAGAATGTGAGCAAACACTACATTAAAAGCCATAAATTCTGAAATTTCTTTTTGAAATTCTACCTTTGAGAAAATGCTGAGCACCATCCAAGCACTCTGGAGACAGTTCATTGTCACCAAATGAACCAAGCAATTCACTGACGATGATATCAGCTTTTTCAGGTGCTGTCCATTCACGCATATCACATGACACCACAGTTACCTGGTCCCCCCACTCCTCAAAGCGCCAGTTCTCCAACCTTCAAAGAAATGTGTACATTGAAAACTATGTATCTCCATATCTGTACAGTAAAAATTTTAAAGTGCAAAGACATAGGCAGTTTCTGTATGTATACAGAGCACTGAAAAAAACAGCTTGCTCCTTGTCTCCTGATCATGGATCATACTCAGTAGATCATACAATCTACTAAGTGGAATATGTGTGTTCTCTGTGACCCTCTGTGACAGAGTGTGTGCTGCTGATGGTCTTGTCTGTAAATGGTGGAAAAGGTTCATGGTGCTAGAAAGTTTTGGATGGCACCAACTTTCCAAGTGAGTAGTGAATGAGACAACACACGAGGGGAGGGCTAACAAAAGCAAGGATGCGGGGGCGCAAACAAGCAAAGTGGCAAAATCTGAATTACTCAACAACTCAACTGAACTTACGTGACAACAGCATTTGGATTTTTCTCCACAGCATACACCTTCAATTTCCGGTCAGCTTGTTTAGCAGCACGCAAGGAAGCATTGACCAGAGGGCCTCGTCCTGCACCCAATACCATCAACACCCTATTTAAAACAAAAAAACCCACATTATTCAGTATAAGCAAAGCAGTTCTTGAATGTCTAAGTTTGACTCACTGAACATTGGTTGCTTTTTGTTCATCTGGAACTCTGTCTAGCAGACATTTATAAACAGCCTGTAATAAGAAAAGCAACATTGGAGGCATGTTCTAATTTGTTTTATCAAAAAACAAAAAAATTGAAATTGCTATTTTTCTGTTTTTATGATCATCGGTGGCTAAGTTTTTGCAAAGGAAAATAATTTTCAGTAGTCCATAATGAAAAACTCACCTGTTGGTATTGTGAGTATTTAATAGGGTCCTTCTCAAACACTTCATATGTTTGAGACTCCAGGTTGTCCATGAGAGGCTGAAATAAATTATATTTTTTTTCATGTAATAGTAAAATAGTAAACTAATATTTGAGCCATTTCAAGTTGAAGATCCATAACTGTAAAACATATATACAAAATGGATCAATATTTGTTGTGTGTGTATTTTTGTCTTTTTATTACTTGAAGGGGAGACTGCAGGTAGTCCTCATAGCCCTTGGCAAACATCTCATAGGCATTGGGTGCTGGCCGGTTCTGGTTTAAATATTCTAGGTACTGCAAGTACGATCTGAAGTCCTTTTCTGTGTGACGACTGGTGCCAGTAAAGACAAACTGGGCCTCCAACTACAAAAAAAAAAAAAATTCATTTTCATTTATACCAAATATAGCCTTTAAAAAATTATTTTCTTACCTTAAAAAGGCGGAAAATTATTCTCTGATGAGCTTTAGACAAGACTGGAAAGCCCTTCTTATTGGTTAAGAAAATGCTGGTAGGAAGTATAGCTGCTTTGATGGGTTCTCCAAGCCACTTATCAATCACTGCATCAGAGGGCATGTCTGCACCAATTTCAATTGCTGATACAGAATAAAGCTTATTATTAAAGTTATTATTTATTAGTTTTGAAAACACACTGCTTATCCTCAACAAACTCACCTAAAGTTATCCTCTTGTTGTAATCACAAAGAGTTCTAAAGGAGTGCCACCTGAGTATAAAGAAGCAAACATGTTAAATATAAATATTCAAGAGTTCAAAGTCAGACTCTAAATATGTGCCGTATATTAGTTTTGCTGTGCAGAATAACTGGACTTACCAGCCCCATGTCTTCTCTTCAGTGCTTAAGTCATCAAAACAAGAAACTTGTTCATTATCAACAAGATCTTCTCGCGTATCCTCTGAAGCCACAAGGGGAACCCGGATCCAGAACTAATACAAATGAATACACACTGATGAGCTTTACACTTTAAATATTAAAAATAATAATCAAACACCAGTTGAAATAGTGTCTTACATTTGATGTGTGGTGGCCAGTGTGGATGTGATTAAGCAGCAGGCGAGCAAGATTGGCATTATGCGGTCCCTTCAGAGGGAGCATAAACACGGGCAGACCCAGGTATGCTGAGAAATTCAACTCTTGGACTAGAGCCTGAACATATCATTTAGCATTGACAATGGTGAGAAGACTGGAAGCATGATCCACCAAAACCACACAAATCTTTTCACCACACCTTGAGCCTACAGATAATGTTGTTGTTATATGTTATACAACTTACTGCCTCTGAATTTCTGCACTCTGTCTCCAGCTCTGAGTCCACGTTTATCCATGGTGAAAGCTTTCCAACTATAAGGGTATTCCAATCTGCCCAAAAAATATTTCAAGCATATTTTGAGAGTACAATGACACATGTACAATAGTTACTTTAACAGTTTATCCAGTAATAGAACCAACCTCTCCCACAGAGTAGCAGGTCAGAGCGAGTCTGGGCACCTTGACGTGATTTAGCCGGCTCAAGCTCATACTCTCTTCTGAACCTCGGGTGATAAAGGGGCATGCAGAGGAAGTCAAATCTGGAAGAAAAACACATACAGGACACTTAGAATACATGAAATAACTGAATATGGTGGTTTTTACAAACAAAAGAAGTGTTTGTTTTACAACAGCATAAAACACACACGAGACACTGATGAATGCTACCATTATGATGTGCACGTGTTGTCATTTCACCGGATTGCAGCTCACCAGACATGGCTCGCGGATGGCACTGCCGTTCATTAATACCGTTCCTGTAGCTAAACTACTAAAGTGCAGAAAAAAATGTTCTTACCCAAGTTTAGCAACAGCTGCGAGCGTGTCAGCAATCTCAGGCACACAATTCAAGTCTCTCCCGCAAGACACTCGGCTGCCTGTACTGGCGGACGCCATGACTGAGCTGCTAGACCGAACAGGACCGCGGCGTTACAGTCTTGGGGAAACAGGCGCCATGTTGGATCTAAAAGGATGTTACCGCAATACTTGATAATGGGATTTTAGAGCCGTAATGACATCTCATGTATATTAGTCCCAACATCTCGTGTGTTATCGCGAGCAATAAGGAGTTCCTAAAATCTAATGTAATATACATTTTAACATCGTTAAAATTAGACTATTCTATTAAGGTGTTGAGATTATTTCTTACAGGACATTTCTTACTAAATCACTTTAAAGTTTTAATCTTTGTGCCTCATGTAAATTCCCAATATGCACACATGCAGTTATATTGAGAATAGTAGGCAATGTTCACTTCTAATTGTTTTTTTTTTGTGTGTTTTTTTGTGTGAAATTGTCTAGCTTGGTCTATTATAGGTTGCATCAGCATTTTTAAGTGGAAACTATTAAAATAAGTGACGCCTCCAGCAGAATTACTGTGCAGAAAAGAGCATCCCAGTATCATGTTCACAGCCGATATTTGATGTGTTTGCATTTATGAACATGATAAAAAGGAGGACATAATTCTACCAAGGATGTCAGTCATGAATGTGATTTTTGTTTTGGATCTTACTGTGTTGCACTATGGCTTTGGAAGATATCTGTGCTTTAAAGTGCACACTTTCTTCTTTGGATAATGCAGCTACATTTCAAACTAATGATTTTTCCAACTTAAGAAGATCATCTCTAATAATTGGGACTCCATTGAAATTCAGTACACCAAACTTTGTATCTTCATTATTAACTTCTCACTTTTCTAAACCTTCAATTACTGTCCCTAGACCTTTTGCTCTGTCTCACGGGACAACAACCCTGGGATTCATCTTCAAAGGTGGGGTCATCGCTGCAGCAGACACACGGGCAAGTGCCGGTGGACTTGTAGCTTGTCCAGCTGTGCACAAGATTACTCCTCTTCACTCCCACTTGGTCGTCACCTCCTCTGGTAGTGGAGCAGACTGCATGCTGTGGGAAAGAATCCTGACAAGAGAAATCAGACTTTATCAGCTAAGACACAAACGACGATTGTCAATAAGAGGAACAGCCAAGCTCCTTTCGTTTATGTTACATCCATTTAAAGGGACTGATGTGTGTGTGGCCCTAACTTTATGTGGGTGGGATACAGAAATGTGTAACAGTCAGTCTCCAGGTAATGCACATTCGCCTTCAAATCAGAGTGTTACTGACATAGCACAATCTGCATCTACTAGCAATGGCCCCAAACTGATATATGTGTGCAGTGACGGGGCTCGGCTCCAGGGAAATGTCTTCTCTGTGGGCTCTGGGTCCCCTTATGCCTACGGGGTCCTAGACAGGGATCTGAAGTGGAGTCTGACTGTGGCAGAGGCTGTGTCTTTGGCCAGAGAAGCTGTGTTTAGAGCCACTCACAGGGACGCATACTCTGGAAACAATGTGGACCTCTTTCACATCACAGCTCAAGGGTGGCATCAAAGACCGAGAGAGGACTTGAAAGAGGAATATTACAGGAAAATGGAAGAGACACAAATTAAAGTGGAAAAAAGAAAGAAGTCTCAGTGAAATCAAGACATTATGTGCTTTAGATTTTCACATAATTGATAAATGCAACAATCTTTAATTTGACAAGCAAAAAATATATTGTGCTATATAATTATGATATATTATTTGTTGTGTTGTGTTTTAGTTTAGTTTAGTTTTGTTCTGCTTTTTTTTTTTTTTTTTTAGAATAATTTTGGTTGTGTCATTTGCAACCTCAGAAATGTGGTCACTGGTCTGGATTACTTGTTTTTTTTTTCGTACGCATGCATTATTGTTACACCGTCCCCGCCGCACCTATAGAGGGTGCTGTCAGAAATGATCAATAAAGGCAGGAAGTTGCTTTCTCATCCTTACACTCGAAAAGATGGCACTTGCTAGTGTTTTAAGTAGTGATTTTGGTGATTTTTCTTACGAAAAATGTCAGCCGGTCGACTTTATAGGTGGACTGGGTCCTAGCGGAGCGAACTTTGAGTCTGCCCCAGGGGAAAGTCTCAGTTTCACCGTCAGAAATCCGCTGTGTGCCGAAGCCGAGGATGATGGCGAGAGGAAAATACAGTTTCTGCATGGGACCACCACTTTAGCATTCAAGGTGATTATTCAATGAATTATTACAAACGTGATGTTTGCTACAATAAGCAATGAAGCTGTAGTTTGCCTTGTGGATGGATCAAGGTTAAGAGCTCGAACAGAGCGCCCCACCACACCAGTTATGAATAAATTGAAGTTAGCATGCTAATGTGGCTATAAAGCGCTTTCTCATGCAGTTACTTCGGGTTACTAAGTTAGTATAACTATCAGTAATAAACGGATCTCTAAATTTTTGCAATGTCTTCTTGTTAATTTTTTTTGTTAAGTTCTACAACAACCAATTTGCGCTGTGTATCTTACGCCTCTGTGGTACCTTCATAAACCATCCTGACCCTGAACTTGTACTCAGTGTCTAAAAGATGAATTAATTAATTTATTTGGATCCCGTCATATTTTTTTTATTTTATTTTTAATTTACAAAAAGAAGCCTGTGTTGCGTTTGTCAATTGGTCCTCTTCCATTTCAGTTGTGTTTTATCTATATTTTTTGTTTTTATGCTAAACTTAAGATCTGTAATATTTTCACTTTTCTTTAGTTCCAGCATGGTGTTATTGTGGCAGTGGACTCTCGGGCCACAGCAGGTGCCTATATTGCCTCTCAGACGGTGAAGAAAGTGATTGAGATCAATCCATACTTACTGGGCACAATGGCTGGAGGAGCTGCAGATTGTAGCTTTTGGGAGCGTCTTTTAGCCCGTCAGTGCCGCATCTATGAGCTTCGGAACAAGGAGCGCATCTCTGTGGCTGCAGCCTCCAAGCTACTGGCAAACATGGTGTACCAGTACAAAGGCATGGGACTCAGCATGGGGACAATGGTCTGCGGATGGGACAAGAGAGGACCAGGTAAATGCATAGCTACAAAAAAAAAAAAAAAAAAAAAAATATATATATATATATATATAAACTGGACCAAATTAGAAACCTGTCATTTATACTTGGCCTGTAATGAATGAAGGATGTAAAACAAAGTAGGTATTTCACAATTTATATTATACATTTTTGACCACTAGATGGTGGCATTATGCTTCTTTTCCCCCTCGTCCATTTGGGTTTTCAGCAGTGACTCTTGGACACTGTGCCCTGTGTGTGAGGCCATACATCAGGGAAGGTGTGCTTAAAGAGGCCGCCACAGTGACACTGTAATGGAAAATCGATGAGACTGGGGCTGCGGGCCAGCAAACACAAGGCAGAATGATAGACGCTGGATCCCAGTGCTGGACAATTGGGTTGCATGCATAATATGTGTGCACCTGCAAAGATCGATCCTGGTTTTGTTTGGAAAGTTGAGAGGCCTGTGATTACTTGACAGACTGTCAGTTTTTCCACAGTCCTGAATGACACGTGTTAAACTACGGACAATCAATGAGTGAAATAATGATCTCAGTATAAGTCCAATATAGGAGGTAGCCCAGTTTGACAGTGATTGAATGAAGAGGTAAATGTCATGTAAATTGAATCAATTGCGATTAGGTGGGAAGCTCATTAGCTGGCTACAATCATGTCAAGAGCACTTACTCCCCTGATGGAGTGTCTTAAGCTGCATGCAAACTAAACTGAATAAAAGCCTTGTTGAAGAGCCTTGACAAATATGGCTCCACACATTATAATGTTCAATGTTGTGACATCGTAATCAGGATGTAGCCTGTCTAACCTGCCGTGGCTTCAGTTTGAAAAATGGGTCTTAATCATGTGTTACTGCCTCTCACAAGGACGAGTGCAGTTTATTACGATGTGATAATGAAGTAAAGTGTGTGTGATGATAGCTGAGACCCATGTGGCAGTCAGTGTTGGACCATCCCCTAGAGAGTGATGCAATAGTTGTGATGTGGTGTTCAGCTGCTACCCCTCTTCTGTCCTGATCCAATGGTGAATCCGGGTGGGAAGGACAGCTGACTGACCGACACTTACCCATTTGATGCTGGAAATCCATCGATCGCACTGTGCTCTCCTCACCACCTCTAAAGGCTGACAGTCTATGCCGTAGTTAAAAAACTCTTCTTTAGCACCTGCCAGTTGACTGATGAGGTGGAAGGAGACTGCTGACTCCCACTGATGCAATTCTCCTGAATACCACTAGGTAAAATTTAGTGTTACAATTATTGTGAGGAGAAATTATACTATTTGAGCAATTATTCTGTAATTGTCACAATGTTCCAGCAGCAGTGGAATCTAGGGCTTGTAATCCTTTAGTTGATGAATCACTCAGTGGTGCCGTAGTCGAGCAGTATTTGTATTAGTTTAATAATTATTTTACTTGTAAGATATTATATGTGTAACAGCAGAAAGAAGGTAGGGAGTGAATTAGCTGTTGGAGTGAATCCTGTGTTTACTCTCCCTTTTTCTATTTAAATACACTTTATTCTTGTACCCTGGGTACTGACTGAAAGGACAAGATTGCAGATACAAGCGTTTGAAATTAGTTTCCACTGCAGGGTGGCCTGGCGCTCCCTTAAAGATAGGGGGTAGAGCCGCTGCTCCTCCATGTCGAGAGGAGTCAGCTGAGGTGGCTCAGGCATCTGTTCCGGATGCCTTCTGGGTGCCTCTCTTGGGAGGTGTTCCAGGCATGTCCCACCAGAAGGAGGCCCTGGGAAAGACCCAGGACACGCTGGAGGGACTATGTCTCCCGGCTGGCCTGGGAACGCCTCGGGGTTCCCCCAGAGGAGCTGGAGGACGTGTCTGGGGTGAAGGAAGTCTGGGAGTCCCTGCTTAGACTGATGCCCCTGTGACCTGGCCCTGGATAAGTGGAAGAAAATAGATGGATATTCTTGTACGTTTCTGTGTAAATTGTTGTTTTTGCATTAACTCAGTTGAGGTATTTTGAGTGCAATTACATGGTCAGATCATAACCATAATTGTTGGAGAACGTTTGTCATGTTAGTTGACTAATCAGTCGACAGGGCATGTCTTTAGTCTACCAAGCATTTTTCTTCCTAGTAAGATCTGTAATTTTCTTTCATTGTCATTGTGGAATGCTTTATGAAATGCCAGTTTCTGAATTTAAAGGTGCACTGTGTAACTTTTTGGTTGGAGGTCTGTCAAAACTACTTAGAAAAACAGGCATTCTGACTGTTAGCAGGGTTGCCTCTCCAAAGATCTGACCTGTAACTTAGTCTCGTTTGGTCTCCCATGAAGATAGAAAGGTTTGATACCATACAGTGAAACATTCCAAAGCCATAAGATTTCCATTCAACCAAAAGCAACTGACAGGCCCAAAAGTATGGCCCTTTTTAATGTGACATAAACAGATAAAAACTTTACATTTTGGTTTAGACTATAGACTGAAAAGTTTAATTTTGCTTCTAAATATTTTTTCCTAATTCTTAAATCATATAGTGACCTCCAATAACAACTGTTGATCAATTTTGTAAGTTAATATCCCTATTTACTGCTACGGCCCTGAGTTAATGTCAACCCTGTGAATTATAGGCTTATGTTTTACTTCCTGAGCTCTCTTCTGTTCATGCTTTGAGTATTTAAGAAGGTTATGCAATAGCATCATTTACTACAAGATTCCAGGTGTGTGGAAGTTTTTTTTTTTTTTTTTTTTTTTGTGCATTGCATCTATAGTTGAATCCATGGCCTGCTCACTCTAACAGCTCCACTCTATACAGCCCTTTACAACTTTCTCCCTGGCTGTTATGTTTGTAACGAGTCTCTTACAGTTTTCAAGAGGAACAGACAGGTCTCCGAATGGCAAATTACCCCTGCGCATAGGCAGGCACCAGATGATTATCATGGCAAGCTAACGACAAGCTGAGGAAGCTGCAATTTGGTAGTTGGAAGCAATGGTAAGCGGCTTTTTCAGAATAGCAAGTGGCTTTCTATTGCTAATAGACTGTTACCGCTTTTGCAGAAGAGTGTGCAATCTAAGGGCACATTGAAGTGGCTTTTTAATGCAGGCGATGGTGAACAATAAAAGCGTCACTTATTGAGTGCTCTTTTTTTGTGTCACTTAATTTTTTTCCTTCATTTTCACCTTTTTATCCAATGAGGCATGTCTGTTTCCAATATCTGTGGGTGTGTTTACATGCCATTGCAAATCCACATCATAATGGTATCTCGCATGTCAAGGGTCATCATGATATAACACAGATAGCTCACAAGTACATCTTGCGTGACCTAAACAGTCTTTTACAGTTTTGTCTGACCATGAGAGTTTGTTAACTTCAAACAGTCCAAATGTACCCAGTCTCAGGCAAAGTGTGTCATTGCATGTGTAAAAGGATATTGATCTTCAAACTGTACATTTTTTAGTTGTGTTTGCTGACTTTGAGCAAGCATTTTTTTTTGTTTTTCCTCTTTTTGTTTTTTCCTGAGGTGCAAGGTGTGGTTACCTGCAGTTCTGGTTGCAGGTCGATAGTTAATTTTTATCACGTTTGCGGGGATCAATAAGGCCATGAGCAGGGCCCCTGGGCTGGGTGGATGTGGATCATGCTGCGTCAGCAGGTTCCTGGTCGCCTTGGTTTTACTTGAGGATGCAGCTGTTCATATCTGCCTGCCTTACTTCATTTGGAGAGGCTGCAGCTGTTCATTTGTCCTCTGGAGGAGGTGGAGTGTGTGCTTGTGGTACTCATGTGAATTTCACAGACAAGTCTTAACACCTG